AGTTTAGAAAGGTTGATCTAAGATGATAAGACAGGGCCTTTTTCTGTTCTTTGGTTTGGTTGTTCTAAGCCGACACATTCTTCATTTCCATTCTCAGTCTTAATTTCACCAATGAAACTTTACATTATTTTTTGCCTTTGTATTAAATTAACTTGTAAACTTCTTGGAACTCTACAATGACCATCTGATTACAATTAGACACGCAAGAATGTGAAATATGAAACCTTATTTGGCCTTCAATGCCTCAACCTTTTTTAATGTGGGTATCTACTTTGTTCAGTAAGATTTCGATTTTGACAATTATTTTGCAAACTATCATAGATTTCCGGTGATTGTTCTGCATAAAAAACCCATGGGAAAGCACATTGTCATAACTTGCTAAACGTTTATTGGAACCCAATAATTTTGCAAGGTGTTGCAACCTGTAATATGAAGACGTGAATGAAAATGCGGAGTTTGTAAGACCAGGTTCAAGCAAGTAGCCACTCGATAGCAGCCACTTCGCTAGCAGCCAGTTTTCAGATATTTATATAAACCCAAATATTGCATAAGATTCAAACATTCTTCAGATGTTTTTATTAATATATAACCACTATATTATCAGTTTTTAATATATAATTAAGCAGTCAAAGACATTATTCAATGAATTCTAAAATTTCATTTCTTGTTCATTAATTATATAAATGCAATAGAAATCGCTTTCAATATATCACACATTACAGTAAATTTTTAAATAGTCAACACTTTTGAGTGTATGTAGAATCGTAAATTATTTTAAATGTTGGCAAAATTGCACTATTGTGTGAAATAGCTTTCCAAATTCTCGGCATCCTGTCACTTCTGAACCAGTGGATTTCGCTTATTTATGATTGGACGAAATGTTTATTTTTTGTACTCAAAGTATGGTGGACAAAGAAATTATTTATTAGCTTTAAAACAAACAAAAAAATAATCCGTGCTACACCTAAACTAGGAATTTTGATCAAGTAGGCGCTAGATCTCTCTCTCTATACATATATAGCTAGCTTACGTTTGCACTTAGTGCGGACAAAAGTATTGCCGTAGAATTTTTTTTATTATCTTTTCGGGAAGGGTTGGGTAGGGTATCCGACCTCAACTTTGGACATACTTTAGAAGAAAAAAAAACTAAGCCGAACAACACCCTGGATTTTTTCTACTGTAAACCTCAGCTACCCAGCTTCCGTTTGCACCTAGTGCGGACAAAAGTATTGCCGTAGAAATTTTTTTATTAACTTTTTGGTAATGGTGTGGTAGGGTGGGTAGCTGAGGTCTACTTGAGAAAAAATCCAGGGTGATGTTCGGCCTAGTCTTTTTTTTATAATGTAATAAGCTGGCAAATTATCAAAGCTCACGTCTTAATTGATAGGCATAGAAATAAAAAGAAAACGTATGATAACCAATAACAATCTACCGGAGACAAAATAACGTTGGTTTAGGCAACTAGTACGATGGTCTGGATGCGGGGTTCTTCATTTCTGTATTCTTTGATATGTTATACCATTTTTCTCTATGCTTTAATTAGTGTTTTAGGCCATTTATCTCTATTCTTTATTTCTTTTTACGTTTTGCCAATTATTTTGTTCTTTTCATATTTAAACACTTCATTATTCTATTTTTTTATGTCTTGGTTCATTGTCTCTTATATTTATATTTTTGCCCACTATTCTCTTTTCTGTAATCCCCCATCCACACCATCCAGTTAAGGTCACCATATAACTTTCACAAATAAGCAAAACTAATACCGTATAGGCTCCGAATGGCAAAATGATTGAATGCTAATCCCGGTTTGAATTATGAAATTGTGCAAATTTGTTTTTCAATCAATTGATCAAGCAAAACACATTATCGTCCTGAAAGTTCGTATAATACTGGCAGATGGACCTTGGTCATCAATTCTAATCATCTTAGATCAACCTTTCTAAACTTAAAGATTACGCACCCTTATTGTTCAGATTGATAAAGACTTTTGCATCCGTCGACATTAACTTCGATTTAAATACTATAGATCTGATAACCGCTGTGCATGTATACTTTAACGACTGGACTAGTTTTCTTATCAGTTTTAAAAGTAGTAACCTCCCTTGTTAATGTGATGTTGTAATCTATCTATCTATTTGTACCATCTTTATATAATATTATATTGTACAATTTGAATTTATGATTCGTTTAATATTTAAATATAATATTTTATTTTTAGTAAAGATACAAGGTAATTTGAAGGGCTAGTTCAATTCATAAGTCAGGCGGTCTATTTTGTCTACCTTATGTTGAAAGAACACCGGGGTGTTTACATTGGCATTATTTACTATCAATGACTGTGCAACAAGAAAGGAAAAAATTGTACATAATAAAACGAGAAATAATTAAAATTTCATACCAAATTCATCATTAGTGAAATCAAAAACGAAAAACGGAAACTATTGATTTTCATTTTGGTTTTAGAGAAATCAAAAACAAAAAATGAAAACACTTTCGTTTTCCGTTTTGGTTTTAGAGAAACCAAAAACGAAAAACGAAAACACGTTTGTTTTTCATTTTGGTTTTTGAGAAATCAAAAACGAAAAATGAAAACACTCTCGTTCTTTGTTTTTTGTTTTTGATATTTCAAAATGAAAAACGAATAGACGCAAATACCTTTGACCATAATCGATGCCCCACACCGTATGTCAATCTACCAAAAGCAACTCATTACCAGTTGCAGATTTAAAAGCGACAACTAACACTTGAGTGAAATTAACAAAACAACAGAAGAATGATATTTACAAACATTGAATGTTACGTTTCTGTCTTGTACAAGGCACACTTAGTATAAAAATAACGACAGTTGAGATGTAACGGAAAACAAAGGATTAGACCCTTCGTATTAGACAGACGTCTTACATTGATTTCTCAAGAAAAAAAAATAAAAGCTTATCTTTTGACTTGACTTTCACTTTCACTTGATAGATGATAGATATTTCATGGGTAGTTTATTGCTAGACAAAATATCTGCCCCTATCCAATATACCAATGTTTACCAATGGCAGTCCAAATTTCTCGCCCTTCATACCGGTCTCCCAATCTTGCAGAAACTATCTAATATATTAACTGTTTATAGTGTTTTGTCTTGCCTATTCATGCAATAATTGACACTGGACTTTCAGCAAGAACAACTTCAATATATACTATTGCACTTGAACAATAAAGTACAGGCGAAACAGGTTATCTGCTATTTGTCTTGAATAGAATATAGATATTGACAATGAGGGTTGGTTTAGAAATACAATTAGGGCCAGCTGAAGCCCGCCTACGGATTCGGGATTTTCTCGCTTCATTGGTGGCCTTGGACTGTTTTCTGCTCTTTGGTCGGGTCTCTGTGACACATACTCCGTTTCCGTTCACTATTCTATTCCATACAAAAACAAACTTCAATTGTTTTATTGTTTAATTGGCATTTCTATGTCGCAACATTTTAATCGTAACCGCATAAGAAGTGTATATCCCCCAGTTCATAAGATATTTCAGGCGTTCCCAATCAAAATGTCCTTGTTAAAAGGTTAGTGTTACAAGCTTTCTACATGGTAAAGGGGAAGTACCTTGAACGACTTAACCTTAGAATCTATGACAAACGTCATGGTTTCTACTTTCCAATCGTCACCCTCCCATTTCGAACCAGTATCATACCATCTTTTCCCATCATATACATGTACACCAAACGCCACTCCATTTTCCCATTTTCCAATTGAATCGTTAACAATTCCTACCATTCATAATTACCAACAATGTAAAATATTTGATTGATTGTTGTTTAAGTCAAGTGACAAATATTTAATGCATTTTCAAACGAGAACAAATTTACAATGAATACAGTAGGAATATTTTGTATGTTAGTGGTCGACTGGGATAAAAAAAAATGAAAACGACACGTTATAAATTTCATGCGTCCAAAGAGTTTTTCGGGATTCATCAGGAACGCTCAAAGTTGAATATTTGAAAGCCAAGGATGTATAAGAACCAAAACTGTTGAAGAGCAATTTTCGAAAAGGACACAAAAAAAAGCAAAATTCATCTAAGGTCAACTTTGCTTGAGGGAGTTGAAAACTTAGTTTTTGAGTAGTTTCAAAATTTATAAACGGGCAATTTTAGAAAGATTTGTTTTAAATCAAATCAGTACTATACTACTGACTACTTAGCCAATAAAGGATGAGAAACTTAAACTATCACAGAAAAAAAAAGAAATTAGTTTCTGTCTAGTAGCAACTCTACTCCGACAGGGCGTGACTATGTATGATGTATACATCCCCAACAGCCAAACCGCAAGAGTTTTACAGCCAAAACGTCTAGTGATGACCCTTTTTGCAATACCATAGTCAACCTGGAGGTCGTAGGTATTTGAGAAAATTGCAAATAATTTCCGTGCATCTGTAATCAAACGAAGCATACAATATTTATCACGTAGTATACATTATATCCTATTTAACCATACATCATACAGCTATACACAATACACCATCACATGATACACATTTTATTGGAAAGTTTACATTCAACGAATGTAAGGGTTCCCATAAAATGATTAGATGTGCTAAAATAAGAGGTTGTAAAATCACTGCCAAAAGACTGTAATTTTCTAGTTCAATAATTTCATTAATCATTTAACTTCTAGATGATTATTGTGTTGCGACTATTTTCTTTTCTTTTCGTGTTACCGAAATACATATTTCTTTCATAAAATCATGTGTAACATATTCAACGCTGCAACACAAACTGATACCAATTCCATTATAGCATGTGTTAATTGATCGTTTTTCATCTTGTATATAGTTCAATTACCCGTAAAAAGTCAATTCATTTTTAAATCTAAAGTGAAATGACAGAATGACAGAAAGTTATTTACCTGAGGGTCCGCTGCATTAGAAACTTAACTTTTATAATATTTTCTTTTTAACACACAATACTAATTCAGTGTCATTACGCTTCCTAAAGAACAAATCGAGCAATTTAATTTCAAACCTTTACTTTTTATTTACAGTTTCATAATTCGTACAATTTATTTGCATGATTTCATAACAAAAGGCATTTTAAACAACAATAATCAAATTAAACATATCACAGCAATTATAAAGGACGGAATCAGTGTTACATATTGTCACTCATCACAGTTTAATAGCAGCATTTAAAACAGTTGTCATTCCATTCGCGGACACACCTCGAACAGATATATATCCCGTTAAATCCTTTATTGATTTGATCTTCGGAGGAAGCTGGAATTCTAGGAATGTGTTTTTTGTTTCCTGCCACTGTATGATGTCAGCGCCCCCCAGAATCGTACCTGCCGAAACTTCATAATATGTTGGCTGCTGTATTTTGAAATGATGTTTCCATGATGCCGTAATTGTACGGTTATCTAAATCAAGCCGCAAATGTGGGTTCTCTGAAAAATTAACAAATTACAATTATATTATACAAAACATATTGATATTTTTTATATATTGAGAAGCCAACATACATTAACTTATCATTGATTAATGTGTTGGGCATTTTCCATGTATGAGCTTTTCTATCATGTGTAAACTTAATTGATAACACCGATTTTAATAAATAGATGCGTTAATTTGTCTATACGTCAAACTGCTAATAATATATGCTTTCTTCATGCATATCATTGAGATACAAATGGGACAATTAATATGATTAGGTAGTGAGAGAAAACACACAGTTATTTAATTAAAAAAGAGGAAGAAAGAAATCTTTAACTATCTTAAAAACTAATGATTGTAAATTGCATTTAATAACATTAGCAGTACCATTTTACTATTAAAGACTTATCATTACTCATAACGTTTAACACATGTTTTTTAAATATCTGCACCTTAAACGCAAAATAAAATAAAAACATGACTTTATGCTACAAATCCCAGATATAGTTCGAAAATAGATAAAATCATTTGATTTCTGTGCACACAATATAAGTTTTGTTATAACCTTCATCACGTTCGCTATTGACCAAAAGATTTGAATTTACAAATGAGATAATGAACAACCATGAAGAAAAGAGAACGGGATTTTAAACAAATAGACTTTATCATTAAAACTGTTAGGTTCAGTAGTGTTTTTGGAGTTATAAACTTCAGATGGACGTGCTACAAAAAGGATGAAACATAAATATTGGTAGTTTATAAAAGGAAAATTTAAGGCATTTCTAAAACTGATTCTCAAAGTCGCTCTAGGAGTTCTCGAAGTTTGACGCAGAACTTACGATGTCCACGGTACATATGTGTACACACTTTATGCAATGGACTGAAAATTAACAGGGAAGTGCTTCTAACAGCAAAACTGCCCAAACAGAGTTATGAGGAATAACGACTAAAATGGACCTTAAATACGTTTTACGTTCACCATCAGGAATTGGTTCAACGATACAATGTGTCGGTGGCTCAACTCACCTGCGACATGTTTTTCGGTCTTAAATCTTAGAAACAAATATGGTCGTTTGAACTGTTTTTTAACCGATTTTTCCTTGTGACATTTTTATTGAGTTTAAATTCGCATGGGGGTAAAACATGCATAGCAGGAGACGCTAAGCTTGTCTTCCTTCCAAATATATATTTGATTCAAGAGTTTTATGTTATTACATACCTATTAACAATGGCGACATTTCAGAAACTACAATTCCTGAGGACACTTGAGTACTCCTTAAGTACATTTTATTTACAGCATTAAGTCTAGCTGAATAGTTTCCATTCGATATATCCAATCCATCCAACAAACAATAAGACATGTCTTGGTTTTCGGCAATTATTGACTTAGAAATCAATGTTGATTGATCATGGCTTTCAAATGTCAACTGAAACAATGCAGACATTTTAAATTTTAGCTTGAATTTTATTAGTCATGGTTATCATATTGAAGGACATACAAATCATACATACTAATCGGAAAAACATTACTTATATATGTGATGCCTATAACAATAAAGATTGCATATGAATTTTGAATATTTGTTTTTCAATCTTTAAGTATTAATGTCTTATTATAGCAAATGCAAACTATAAAGTATATGTTGATAACATCAAATATGTGACAAATACCATAAAAATATATGAATTCACTTACAAGATAGGAATCTAGACCTGTCAAATCCTCAAATCCTGTCCATTTTACCCTAATGGATGTTGTGTCACCTTGATAATGATCTCTTGGATTGTACTCTGTTAAGGTGTGTGGTAGAATTTGTACCTCGGCAAAGGTAGTATTTGGCGGGAGACTTGAAATTTTAACACCATTTGACGACTTTGAGGACTGCAATCCTGCCTTATTTTTACATCGCAACGTCACGTGTATCATCTGCATAGACACTTGATTGCTAGGGAATACTTTTGATATCATTTTCACTCCTCTTGCTAATGGCTGGAAAGTTTGTATTTCATTCCCATACGGCTGATAACCTGCAAATCAAACGTATATTATTCAAACGTTCACTTAACACAACTTAATTACTACGTAACTTTGGTATCAAATCCTCATTCGTGGCTACATTGCTTTCTATATTAAGTTCACCAATTTCTAGTATTCATAGGCATTGTGTTTAAGTTTAAAGTATTTTCAAAATACATATTTAGCAAGGGAACAACTGTGAAACCAGGTCCTTATTCTTTCATTTCATACCACAATTACTAAAATGTTTTATATCCACCTTAGTTAGTTTCCACAATTTCTAAATTCTAAGTGCCATTGTCCTTCAAAGGTTAACATTATAGTAAAAGTTTAATAACTCTAATACAATCAAAATCAGGGTATATTATAGTGAACTGCACACAATGATAAATAATGAAGTAAGCAAACATTCTGTCATACAATCTCTGATTAGTTGCATTCTCAAATTGTAACTGTGGTGTGATAGCCCAAAAGTCAAAGTTCAATAATTACCGAAAAAGATCCTAATATAAATAAGACGATGTGGTATGAGTGCCAATGAGACAGCTCTCTATCCAAGTCACAATGAATAAAAAATTTTCAATTATAGGTCAAAGTACGGCCTTCAACACGGAGCCTTGGTTCACACTGAACAGCATGCTATAAAGGGCCCCAAAATGATTAGTGTAAAGCAATTCAACCAGTAAAACCAACGGTCTAATCCATATAAAAAACGAGAAACAAACGAGAAACGCCTATGAACCACACCAACAAACAATAACCATTGAACAACAGTCCCCTAAGCTTACTATTACTTCATTCTAGCAATTACACCACAACTCCTTATTTTCTTATTTATTTTGAGTTTTTTTGTGAGCGAAAGGCCAAGTTTAAGTATCACTAATGATAACATTGGAATTATTTCTGATTGAATGAAAATTGTGTCCGTCTCCTTTGATGCCTATATGCCTATAATGATGCGTCTGGCAATATTACGGACAAAACAATCAAATCCTTTTGCCTTTGTAACGCTAATTAATAAATGGTAAAGAAACTGAGGTTAACTGATCTGTATAATTTTGTTCGTTTGAATAAACAACTTTTATAAGATCTGGAATATGAAGATAAAAAGTCCGAACAAACATCACGACCCATATAATAAGTTCTAGAATATGGGTATTAAAAATACGACAAGTTTCAATTGCAAACTGTGTGTGGTGTGAACCGTAAAATATAGGTTGGATATATCTGATGAAATTCAGAAAGTCCGGTAAAAGAACATAAATCAATCTTGTTGCAATTTCACAAATAGAAGTATTTTAAATTGTTTGAAAACTAAGGATTTTATATCCCAAGATTAGATTAACTTAACTGTAATTGGCCAAATCTATCAGAATATTGGGTTTTCAATGCTCCTCAACTTCGTACTGTATTTGACCTTTTTAAACTTTTTTATGCTAGTGTCACTGATGAGTCTTTTGAAGACGGAAAGCGCGTAAGGTGGACATTGTTATAAGCATGGTATTTTTCATTTTTTTTTTTATTTGGAATGAATATACTCACCAACTGCCCACTCACAGACATCTATTCCGGATTCAGCATCATGTACCTCCCAGTTTGCAGATACTTCTTCTGTAGTTTGTGCATCTATATCAGAACCTACAACAGGCAGATATAGACAAAAATCATCTCAATACAAAATTAATTTTTACTTTTATAGAATCGAAAAAAGCTTTAAATATTAGACAGAAAAAATGTATTAAAAATTGGCAATAAACCTTTCCAGCATTAAATTCGGATAAAATATGATGCTACGGTAACGAAAAAGTCACATTTAATAATCATAAAATACAATGTGTTAACGACATATCCAACAAGGGCTCCACCTCCTGTTGAGTTCTTTATTTCAGAAAGTATTTTACACTAAAATAATTAATTAAGCCATGCTTTTTTAATTATATATTCATTAAGCATTGTTAATCATTCGTGTGATGCTGAACACACATACTATTGGATGTACACTATATCAGGGAATGCACAATGATGTAAACAATTGACACTAGTGTTTTCAGTACTTGACATGTAGTAGAAGCATGATTAAATACTTGTGTGTTTTTGTAAAATTACATTTCATTCAATAAAATCATCTAAAACAAGTAATATTTTATTAACCAAATTTTAACACTCAAACCTCATATCAAGTATATTTTTTATTTTTTGTTTTTTGCATTGTTTAGTACACAAACCTATGCCATCATTAACAAAGCTAATGTCTGGTGCTGTTAAATCCACGAGAAGATCCTCTGCATGCGCTTCTCTTCGTAATCCAGCTGCATTTGTAGCTATTACAGTAATATGGATGACTGACGTATGAGCTAGACTGACATTGTAATTGTAGGCAAAGTTATTCAGACCAACACTTTTAAATCCTTGGACCTCTGTACTTCCCTCTGTATAGCCTGGAATAGAAATTATTTAGTTATAAAAGTTTTCAGTTAAATTACACACCAATCTTTTTTCTTCCAAAATATCATATAATTATTTTTTTTTCACAGACTTATGAATGTTTTTTTTTTTTTTTAGTAATATCTTTTATTTTAAATTCTCTGGAATACATATACCCTAAGCAGTCCAAGGCAGCTGACAGAGGGGTCCCTGCTTTCATTTAACATATCCCATTTGCCAGGGAAAATACAAATGGGTGTAAAAAAAAGAAAAACTCTATATAATGTATATTCAATATATATATATAAAAAAAACAGCATCTGTTTATAATTAATTACTGTATTCTTCCCATTGAAATCTTGCATTTTCATATAATTTTATCCTTTTACGATACAATTATAGAATTATTTATAATAGTTATTTATATTATTTTCTTTCTAACCATTTGCACTATTTAAAGTTCAATCCGAGCTCGTGTAAAAAAGAGACAACCAATTATAAAATCTTTTGTTATTTAAATTGTGTTCCCGGTTAAATGCCTGTTAGATATTGACATAGCCAAAACACGTGCTTCAATCAACAGAATTTTCGATGAAGGATTATTTGAGAAATAAATGTATGTTCACTTATGAATAAACACAGTCTGTGGTGAGTAAAATACTAGTACAAAAAAGTAATACAATTATATAGTATGTAATATTAATATGTATTAAATATAAAGTATACAATTAACTTATATAAATAATGGCGGTTGTTTGTAAATGGAGGTGTAAACCATATACTAGTTCAAAGTGTGCGTTTTGTATTCAAATGATAAATATAGCTATAATACCGGGGCACAGGTTCTTTCATAATTATATATATAATTCTGCATAATGAGCAAAGAATAAACAAGATGTCAAATTCGACTATTAATAGTGATTACAATATTTGAGATAAATGTTCAAGTTTGTCTATTCCGAAAAATTCTTTTTGTTTGATTTAGCGGTCATTGTGATAAAATCATTCATATCTTTCTTAAAAATACGGAGAATGGATGCTTCATTAAATATTGTTTTGTTGAATTTAATGTCGTTCCGACCTTTCCAAATACTAAATTTTCCAAAATACACTATAACATTTCCAATATTTATTTGCGTTTTATCAAGATCTTGATTATATCAAATGATCATGTTTTGGACCTCAAAGTTAAGCTTTATATCTATGCACAGATATAGCAATCTTTTTATTTCTTCAATGATTCTTTGAATTTTACAACAATAATAGAATAGATGCCCTTGGGTTTCAAACAAATTGCCACATAAGTTACATAAGACATCGGACTTTCGCATTTGGTACGATTTAGATTCAGTGTAATGAATATTATGTAGTGATTTCCATTGAAATTGGAAAAATATTGTTTGATTCAGGCAGCTTGTGTAGCTTTTTCCAAACTGATTGCCAGTCTAGTTCCGTATTAAATGTTCTGTTCCATTTAATTTCACATTTTGCACTAGTACATTTATTTAGTAATTTTTGTAATGATTTTAATTGAATTTTTTTCTGGGGGTATACAATTTCTTTTCGTATCATATATTTTGTTATTCTGGATTTTTATGTGCTTCAAATTTGTTGGATCACTAATGGCGCTTCTAAGTTCGTTAATCCAATCATTGGGGATTTCTTTCTTTATTAAATTGTATTCGCATATCGAATTTAGTTTATCTATAAGTTTGTCAAATATATGTTTATTATAGTAAAAGGTTTCCGTTTCATTATTTCAAACATCTTTAATTTTGGCGATATGACTCTTGGTAAAGGAAGGGAAGAACAAAGGTTTTCCTTTCCATTTTATAGTGTTGTTACCAAATATATTCTCTTCAAGAATACTATGTTTTTAACGTTCGGTCATTTTACTGTAAAGTTCACACCATGCGGTAACCGCCTTTTGGTAGAAATTTGACATATACTTAATATTAATTCCATTCAGATCTTTATAGGTACATATAAAATATTCAATACCAAATTTTTTGTCAAAATGTTTAAGCCAGTATTTGGCAATTGCATTCCAACTTTGTGTTGTACTTTCTAAAATTTTATAAATTAATTTTATATGTTTGCTTTTTATGAAACTTTCCAAATTTATCATTTTGATCCCACTAAATTTTCTTCCAGACAACATAAATTTCTGTGAACACGGCTGACTTTAGAGCCCCAAACAAAATCCCAGAAAAGCGAGTTTATTTCTTTTTCAGATTCGTTAGGTATACCCCTCATCTCAACCTCGTATCCGAAAATCGGTATTAATTGGTTTTTTATAATCAATACTTCACCTCTGTAAGTTAAATTTCTTGTTTTCCAAACGTGAATACAGTTTTTTATCTTGCCAATTATGGAATCCCATATTCTATTGTTATTAATATTATAACCATGGTGGACTCCTAAATCTTTTATGCTATCCTTGATCCAGGATATATTTTTTTTAATCTTGGTTTCTTGCCCTTTAGTCTCCCAATAAACAAACCCTTAGTTGTATCGAAGTTAATTTTGGAGCCGGAGGCCATTTAAATATTTCCAATTTTTCAAAGGCTTTTTCAGCCGATTGTTCGGATTTGTTTATAAGTTGTGTATCGTCCGCAAACATTGATAATTTAGTTTCAATAAGTCCGTTTTCCGTTGGTATTTCAATTCCCTGTATTTCTACATTTGCGCGAATGGCACACGCCATTGGTTCCGCTTGTATTATGTATAAAAAGGGGGCTATAGGGAACATCCTTGTCTTATTGATCTGCTTATTGAAAAGGATTTAGACAGAAACCCATTTGTTTTAATGCAAGTGTTGGCATTTTTAAATAGCATTTTTGTCAAGCTACAAAAGTTATTACCAAAATTGAAACCCTCCGTAACCTTTATCAGCCATCCCCATTCGACTCTATCAAAAGCTTTCTGTTTGTCTAGAAATATAATTAATCCCTCCATATCCTCATTTTCTACATATTCAATAATATCCTGTAAAAGTCAATCACTTATATTTCTCCCCTTTACAAACCCTTTTTGATCCGGGTGAATAATTTTATTTAACAATGGTTTAAGACGCTCTGCCAACATCTTTGATATAATTTTATAAGCCGTATTCATCAAGCTTAAAGATCTCCAGTTTTTTATTAGTTCTAGTTCCCCTCCCTTATGTAGTCAAGTTAACAATCCTTGGCGATTTACTGAGTTCAATTTCGTCAAATACTTCCTTTATTACTTCAGTGAAAACCGTTTTGATAAGGTCCCAGTATATTTGATAAAATTCCGATATAATCCCATCCCTTCCCGGAGATTTATCTTTCTTGGGATTTTTAACTGTCTTAGTTAATGAATGCAAGTTTTAACTTTTGTTTGTAATACAAGCATTTCATCTGACGCTTTTTGTTTAGGAATTCGTCAAAGTACAGTTTCAAACAATATTAAATGTTTCTTTTTTCTGCAATGAAGGTCTATTAAAATTAATTTCTGACGATATGAACGGTCGTATTTTTTGTATCGTTTATGGGATTGTTGATTGAAATTAAGTCGAAGGAAACAATCACTAATATTGCAGTGCTGAATGAAATGGTTTCATGAGTACTTTTAGCAGCCTGCAACAAAACAAACAAATTCCAAAAGATAAAATAAGATCAATATTTTTTTTTGGTTGCAAGTAAATAACTGATGCCTGTTTGGGATTGCTGTCTAAATGATGCATATAAATCATACATTGGTACCAGTGGATTATCGGATTCATCCAATCGAGATTGTTAAAAGATGCGTGTTGATGTCTAAATTTAGCATATAAATCATACTTAGGTGAAAATATTTGTTATATTTATTTACATGTAAAAAAAAATCTAGATTGGTACCAGTGGATTATTGGATTGATCCAATCGAGATAGTTAAATTATCGCATTTTATAGACCGAGCCTAAACGAGGACTTTAAAATTGATAATTTAACTATCGAGATTTTTTTAAATCCGATAATCCACGAGTAACTATGTAAGAATCTGTTTCTCTAATGAATATCAAATACATTTTTTCATTATTGATAAAAGAGTGCCTTGCACATTCCACAAAGTTGTCAATTTCTCCAACACCTGTAAGCACATTTCGATTCACCTAGTAAACTGATAAAGGTTATGGCCCTTGAACACAGCCAACGATCTTCTGGGATCATCAGCAATAACACGTTTATGTAATATTTTTATACAATGGGTCCAGAAAGGGTTACATTATATTTACCTATAGCCCACATATAATCTACTATTGGACTTTCTGGATCAAAAAAACTCCAGGAGGCATGGATGGACGACCACTGATGTAGAGCCACCACATGTGCGTGAATATGTTTGCCATTTTTATGTGCTTCGTCTTGATTATGAAGAATAGTTTCCTGAATTTTCACGTCATCGAAAAGAATACCAGTATGTCCAGTCATGCTGCCAAGATTGATTGTTTCTGTTGTTGTGGAAGGACGAAAGTAGAATGTATGATGGTGCCAGTTTAACTCTTTAGATGCACTTCCGTGTTTATCCTGTTTTGTATAGACCATAAAAACGTGTTTTGTATTACCTAATTCTATATAACCCTCTTTATTTGCTAAAACAGCACCAAGAATCGGAGGATGGGCTGTTACAAACGTCACACGATATAAATGTCCAACATTTAAATTTTCTAATGACTGTGATATCTGTCCTTCAACAAATACGAATGACCTTCCGTCTATAGCTACATTTTTATCCGATTTTAAAACTCCTACACAACTTCCTAATGAGTTATTCCATTGTAAAGCATAAACAATGTTGTTGCAAAAATTTACATTGGTTATATTATCCCAATCAAATGCTTGACCATTCATGTCTTCAAACGAAGGATTTGTTGCAATGTTGTGATCCAAATGTTCCATAAGTGTTGGTCCTGGATGCGTAGTGTCAATCATGACGCAATTTGATTTAGATGTTTTAGATCTATATCCGATACCGTCTACTGCATACACTAGACTTTCAACTTTCTCTCCTGAATAAATAAATTGACAGAAATTGTTCAACGGCATTTTCTCATGTCGTTAGATGTTACATACATCGCATTTCTTTATGGGATATGACACTTGTTTTTGTTTAACTTCCTGGAAACGTTATGTGATGGTTTCCCATACTAGTAGTTTTACAGTGCGAGTGACCTAATACGATATATATGGACTCAGTAAGTTCCATAATAGGATGAGAGCGAAGCTCGAACCCCAAAAAAATGTTACTGCCTCCATATATATCCCATTATGTCACTAGCACACTGTGTAACGAATTTATCTTACCGAATATCTTAACATGTGACATTTAAACTAGTGGCCTTTTAAAGGGATCATCAAATCAAATCATCAATATTAAGAACCTACCTCCATTGGATTATACAAAAACAAATGCCAACAATAACAACTTGTTAGCTTTAATGTGTTTTCTGCATTTATTTTCAGTCGTTCATTTCATCAGTTTCGTCATCTGTTGTTTGGGCGAAACGTTTCAGATTTTTCTTCAATGTCATGCAATTAAAATTGAAGGAAAATATATATCACAATGCATACAATAATAGCAAATATATATATATATATATATGAACATAAGAATGAAACAGAAATTAAATAGAATAATGATGTAAATTAAAAGCATTGAAAGGGGATATATATATCACAATGAATACCATAAAAACATATCAGAATATAACAGTCAACCAAAATTAAATAAAATAATGATGAAAATTATAAGTATTTACATTCCCTGCGGTATATACACAAGTAAAACCTATAGACATTTGCATTAAAGGATTTATTCACTTAGCTAAGAGAAAATATAAGGTAGAAATTTAACCAGTAAAACACAGAGAAAAAATAAATAAAACTGTCTCTTAAATAAAAACTTAAAAACTAAAAATTAAAAATTTAAATAAAATAAAAAAAAGGCCCTATCACTTAAACTGTTAGAATAATAAATAAATATCACAGGTCTTACACATCACAGTACGCCAGTCTAAAAATATGTGTCTTTAAACCTTTTTTAAAATATACAGGGTATCCACGTGTTTACTTTTAACCAATGATATTCCTAAAATATCCAGGATGCAAGATCATACCATATACATATATATATATATGTTCAGTTTTACCTATAGTAATTTTGGCTACTCTACAGTTAACTTATTATTCATTATTCCTAAGTTATCACCTGTCAACAATAATTTACCAATTTTACCTGTATTTATGTATGAACTGTTAACGACCCTGGATACAGAATGGTGAATCCCGACATTTTCCCAAACTCTAATATCGCAAGGTTCAACAGCAGATTTAGTTTGTACACACCACATGTAATTGGTTATTCCCGAATCTCGATCAGAAAAACCATGCCACGAAGCTCCGACCAATTCTGAATTATTCTGATATTCTGTGTCGTGTATTCCTAAAAACCAATAACAGTTCAATGTTATATGCCTGTTGGAACTTTAAATACAAGACAATACAAACTGAAAAATAAGATATAAGACATTTCTGCTATTATACTTTTTTAAGCCTCACTATGACTTTGAGGTGAGTAACAGTTATAAAAGCGCCAAGCCTTTGCTTTTCGTGTTTTTTGCTTCGCATGATACGATTTTATGTCATGGATGGATACTCACTAACCTTTTACTTTCTTTTCTATTGACTCATAGACTAAAAATGCAGAAATCTTTCAAGTTTAGAAAATTACTTCAAATCCATATATTCCCACATATAGTCACATATAATGTTAATAATGGATCCCATGGCATGCACTGTATCTAATACAATTTTTGTATATATATTGACCTTTATTTCAATACTGCCAGTTCAAAAACTCGTCTCTCTCCAGATCTGTACACTTCCGGAATGTTGGTAGCTAGCAGGACATTGTTATTTGAAGTATGATTTGTATTCAGTTCTTATACACGACCATTGATCTTTTTTCCGGAGCGACTTTTAATATTTCTTAACAAGCCGTGCTTTGATAAGGGATTCCATTTTGGTAATGGATGGAACGCAATTTTCTGCCATTTGTGATTTAATTGAAACAAAGTCATAGAGCTTTCTTCTACCAATCCAAGTTGCGCTGGCTAATATAATGTGCATAAACAATATACTGTTTGGTCTATAATACTTGACACTCTTATGGTTACACGCACTTCATTTTGTACGAAGCATAACAGCAATAGACACTGATAGTTCCACAATAGAAGGGAATAGTGTTGAACCTAACAGACACGCACGTTATATTTATTAAAGACGGATATTACTATATTGATAAGAAAAAGGCTGTCAGGACAGTGGCAACGATACCACAAAAGCGTTCTAAGCCAGCATATAGCGTACCACATACTACTCCTTATGATGATGCATATATCTGTTTTAGTGAATCGGTACGCGATAATCATAATTTTATAACATTGGTGCTGACATAACAATGATATCATACAATGCAACAGATACATTTTTGCTAGTGGCTGAGTTTTATTTGTTGTAATTCACCACACAATTGAAAATACAGAGAAACTATGTTTCACTAATGATTCATAATAAAACAACATTACGTTGTAAAAGGTTAACTGGAAAGCATATTTTCCCAAAAATATTTTAAAACAGCACGTTTAATAATTTCATGCGTCCGAAGCGCTTTTCTGGATTTACCTTCACACAAAAGATCACACATGTATATGACATAATTAAAATGAAACTAGATCCGCGTTTGAATATTGGTAGAGTCTATTTATAAAACTAACCTATACCATCATAGACAGTACCAGTTACTGGTGGCAGAGAGTCAACCATGATGCCGTCGGATGTTTCAGTAGCATGGATACCAGAGTAGCTGTATCCCACAACATTACTGTAAAATAATTTCCCTGGAGATAACGGCACTCGGCTGATGTTATGAGACGTTATGGTTCCGGGTAGATCCAATTCCACTACATGGATATCATGACCTTTAACACATTTTATTTCATTATTTCTAATACAATACACAAGTAGCTAATTTGATAGTCTTAAACCATTATACTTCTTTTGAAAAGTGAATTGACATTAAACAAAGTGAATGAATGCAACATTTAGTAAAATGAAGTGTAAAAAAAAAACAGTTTGAAATCATACCTCCTGGATATGTACTTAGGTACACTTTAAACTTGTCAATGATATTGGCATCATCTTTAAACACGTTCGTCCATTTGATAGTGAAAGGAGCTCCAGGTTTGATGTAATCTATATCTTTTTTCCAGTGACCTGGTATTTGTTCCACAACCTTTAATGGTAGGACATCAAATAAGTTTTAATATAACAAATTAGAAAATCAGAATTCCGACAATTAGCAAATAACGATTATGTTGATGTAGCAGTTACCAATTCATGTTTACTTAGATTGATTGATTGATTGATTGGTGTTTAACGCCACTTTCAGCAATATTGTGCTATTTCGTTACGGTCAGGTTTTGTTGGTGGAGGAAGCCGGAGTGTCCAGAGAGAACCGTGACTTTCGGTAGGAAAACTGAAAATCCATGTCAATCAAGATTGGAATCGAACGCACCTGCCACGTGCCGGATTCGAACTCACAGCCTCAGTGTTGACAGGCTAGTGATATATGTTCGACTATTTAGACCACTCAGCCACCAAGGCCACATGTTTACTGAGAAAAAAAAATCTTAATTATCTATTTATCCATCTATGCATGTCATTTAAACTCTGAGAACAAATCCTATATCATATATTGAAGGTTAAAATATAAGTGCTTCAAACATCTTTTATTTTGTTTCATTTGTCTGTGCAATTCAAGAAATTTTCGATTAAAGCGATTTTTCAGTTTGAAGTAATTATTTTCTTAATATTCGTGAATAGGAAATTTGAATTAGAAATACCAACCGCCGATCCTTTGATTTTCCGCTTGGGAAGAGGAGTTGACATAGCTAATATTCCATCTGTTTTAAAGTCTGCATACGTGTCGTGATCATACCATGCTCTCACAAACATCGCATACGATACTGGTGATTCTTTCAACTTTTGACCTGCATTCATAACATGAAAAGTGAACAAAGGTTCAGACAACAACATTCAAAACAAATAAAATGCACTTAAGAAAAATACTGCAGAATTAATAGTTAATGTGCAAACAGCAGAAACTTTTTTGGAAGCACATTTAAAAATATTGAGGTAGATTGTGTTTGATGAAAAACGAAAATTGATCATTTTATAAACTATCCCAATCTCGGATGAGCTATGAAATTCCGATAATAACGCCAGATTATATAAATAATGAATTTTTTAGTGATCATTTTATAAATTAGATCCAATTTCATTTCTTTTTATCTAATAACAATCAACAAATATTTGATACAACTGAAAAATAAAAATTTACCTCGTTTTATGCTCAATATTGCTTGGTTTGTTTGCCCTGCATGATGCCAGACATCGTCGTTTAAATTATCAAAGATGCCTTCTGGTTCATCTTTACCTGCATATCCTGCTGTCCATTCATACCTTAATCATAAATATTCTATTTGAAACATTTCATTCTTGGCAAGGTAGATATAACAAAGGATTATGGTGAGATTGCAATCAAAAGTATATTTAATTTGACAGAAGTTTAGGATATTATTGAAAAAAATGAAAACAACACATTACAAATTTAATGCGTCCGAAGCGCTTTTCTGGATTCTCCTTCATCAGGAACGCTCAAAGCCGAATATTTGAAAGCCAAAGATGTATAAGAACCGAAACAATTGAAGAGCTATATGACCAAAAGTACTGAAGATCGTTACACTTTATGTATACATGTACTTATATTTGATTTGCTCTTTTATAAACCTTTAAATGTCAAAAACAAATCCGAAAATTTCTACATTAACTTATATGTTAAAAAAAAAATATTGCCGTGAATTTCCAGCATTAAAACATTTGAATATCCAATGGCGTATTAGAATTCGGATGCCAACTGAAACTGTATTATAACAGACAAACATCAAACAACTCTACAGGAAAAAAAAACATGAAATACAAACAAATCTTAAATTGAAGTATTGGAAAAGATAAATGATTGATGTATCACGTAAATATATCAAGTAAATCAGGAATAATCAATTATACATGCTATATTATGACAATTAGAATGAATCATACATTAAAAGGTCTACATGGGTGACAACAATATTATTTACAAAGACTTGACTCAAGAGGGTGATACAGATAAGTACGAGTAATTTAAGTGGTTTAGATCTCATTTCGTAACACCTGACCGACAATTCAAAACATTTAAGTTATCAATTATCTAACCAATCATTCATCTATTCACTTGGTACTTTTTTCTGTTCTACGGATAGGGTACACGTAGAACAGAAAATACTTCTTTAATTCAGGACACGAACTCCTATGAGGAAATATGTAGTCACTAAATTAAAAATGTCGAGCCAACTTACCACAGAGGCCTCAAGCCTTGTGCCTGAATAACATGCCATTTGGCAGCCAGAGCGACATTTGATGGCGTGTACTTTATGTCACTAAAGGGAGAGGATGCCTGGATATTTGTAATGTCGTATATGCCAAGTAGGTTGTTATTGTTGGCTGAAATAAAAGCAGGTTTGATAATCTATACTACTAAAGGAAGAGACCGATTTCATTGAACCGCAACTCCTCTGAAACCATACAAAGTCGGAAATATTTGTGATGTGAAGTATAAATGTAGTGTTTTGTACTTCCTAAATTTGTCTTTGAAACAATCTTTGTTCCACAGAAAACGCCAAATTTTGAGAAAATATTTAAACTCAGAGACCGTTATCGATCCGTGTCTCATACGCTTTCGAGCATGATAAGTCGACTTTTATTTTATTTTTCATCCGATTTAGATGAGATTTTTTCCATTGTGTTACTCATTTTGATCCTTTTCGGTAATGTCAACGGATTTTACGTAGCTCATACGGTTATTGAGTTAAAAGGGTAAAAAACTACTGAAAATCACACTTTGCAACACTTTTTCTAAGGGTATTTAATATTTTTAATTTCCAACCGAGATGAATGGGGTCTTTTGCATTATGTTTCTTCATTTTCATCTCTTTAAAGAAATAGAATTAAATGCATTAACCGTGTCCAAATCCTTACTGTGTCCACCTTATTACTGTGTCCACACTCTTTCTTTCAACACTTGCCCAGTTGTACCTCGATTTCGAGGGCATCTTCTAGTATATTCATAAATAAGACTTGTATGTAAGACTTCGTTTTGAATAATATTGAACGATTGACATTAATATATTTTCTAACCGGAGAAATAAAATAGTTATTAAATAGTTAATTAGTGTGCTGTTCTATATTCAAAGGTCGTTTAAAAGTTAGACAAAACTTAAGTCTGAGAGAATATGAATTTTTAGTTGTAATTGGCTTTGAACTATCTTTCAGTAACTGCTAGTACTCTTATGTCGGTGCTTTCTGTTTCTGTGCCTCGAATCGATATTGTGAGTTAAGCATATTGCAACTGATTTTTACATGTTTTGTTGTGTTGTGCTGTTACACCACTCTCCTAGGTTTGGAGGGAGGGTTGAGCGCTCACAAACATGCTAAACCCAGCCACATTCTGTATGTGACTGTCTCAAGTCAGAAATATGTAGTACAGTGGTTGAGGTTTGTTCATGTGTGTCATATTTGTTTTTTTCTGAAATTGCTTTGTTATAGATTAGGCCGTTAGTTTTCTCGATTGAATTGTTTCATATTGTTCATATCTGGGCATTTTATAGCAAACAATACGGTTGGTTATTCATTGCTGAAGGTCGTTTGATGGCCTATAATTGCGTTCATCCACTTCCTTTGAACTCTGATGCATAGTTGCCTCATTGGCAATCATACAACATCTCCTTATTTTTATATACATCATACTTAAAATGATGACTAACTGACCGAACAATAGTGATCATCAACGCTTGCACATTTCACTAAATCGCAGTTAAACATTTTTCAGATCGCATTAGAATCACATGAAATATGTATCTTCAAATTATGCAGGAATACTTTTAGCAAAAACTATTACATGAGACAATCGCATGTTAACCCATATAGATAAGGATTTTGGTCCGATGTCCCCCGCCAATGCACATACCTCATCTGAAGGGTTATAGCTCAAGTTACTGTTATATTTATTCTTTTAAACTTTTTTTTTATAAAAACCCTACAAAAAATGTAAACGTCAGAGTGCTATTTTCGAAATAAATTATACTTAAAAGGGACATAACTCCTCTACAAATTAATGATAAGCACTGATCTTTTAACTCGTCTGAGACATTGCTGATTTATTAGGTTTTACTCTCCTATTAAAATGAGTAAAGACTGTTTTCACAATGTTGACTGCTGTAACCCAATTATTGAAATTTTTATCTGTCATGACTATTTGATTTGTTCACATATTGTTATTCATATAATGGAATTGTATGCGACTTGCATACAAGTGAGAGGTTTAGCTAGCTATAAAACAATGTTTAATTCACCATTTTCTACAAATGGAAGTTTCTGTACCAAGTCAGGAACATGACATTTGTTTTCCTTTCGTTTGATGTGTTTGAGCTTTTTATTTTGCCATTTGATGAGGACTTTCCGTTTTGAATTCTTCTTGGAGTCGGTATTTTTGTTATTTTACTTTTTCCCTCTAAATATTGTTTGGCAATAAATACAAACTGGAACAACATAAATTAATTTTAATCTGTAAATAGTTATAAGAAGATGTGGTATGAGTGCCAATGAGACAACTCTCCATCCATGTCAACATTTATAAAAGTAAACCAATATAGGTCAAAGTACGGTCTTCAACACGGAGCCTTGGCTCACACCGAACAGCAAGCTATAAAGGGCCCCAAAAATCACTAGTGTAAAACCATTCAAACGGAAAACCAACGGTCTAATCTATATAAAAAACGAGAAACGAGAAACACTTATGAACCACATCAACAAACGACAATTACTGAACATCAGATTCCTGATTTAGGACAGGTGCAAACAATTTCAGCGGGTTTAACGTGCAAACAATTGCAGCGAGTGTAAACATGTATAAAAAGGTGCAAATTTTATGTAGTTTTTAAGAATAAATCATTTGTAGTTTGCAGTTGAAATATGCGCCTGACAAATATCATGGTTACAGAGGAGGACGTATTTGACGGATATTGCTTAAATAGAATATATCCATGTAGAATTAAAATATACATAATCACTTTTGGAAAATACCTTTAGTAACATCATGACATGGTCTTTTTGAGCATCGTTGTCCTTGTGCAGCACAAACACAATGTCCCTCACACGTGACAGCTGCACATCTCCTTATCAATTCTAATGAACCTCCAGGCACAAGTTTAAATTGAGAATGAATCATTTTACTTTGTAATCCGATCTGTCAATGATGCAAAAAATGTCATCAGATTTCACTCAACTGTGTTGTCGCTAACCTAATACAAATACTAAACATGTTTATTTATCGGGGTCTGGTTTGTTATTGTTGTTGTCGAGTTGCTGCGTCACTGACGTTTTCCACATATAACCTTTTTATCGATATTTCAGTATTAAATCAATTATGTGAGGTTAATTTTCAAACGATGTATACTGCTTTAAGCTAGGTTTGATTTGTAAGAATTAAATGTTTTGTAGGCTTATTACTGCTTAGGGAGAATCACCTTTAAATATATTAATCAGTTTTGATTCTAAAGGAAATATAATATATAAGCTTTTAAAAGTCGTCCCCTAATTGTTGATACGTAAGGAAAAAAAACAATCGGAAAAGGTTCCGTATTATATGAAAGGTTTTCTATACGTTTTCTGACTACCATTTCTAATTTTCTGTATGTGCGTTATAACATCAGCAATTTACACTATAATTTCATACACTAAAAGTGATAATACTGTTACCTGGTTTTCAGCCCAGACGCTTATAAATACGTTTTCAAACTTGGCCAGATTTTTCGTATCAACTTCAAATGTTTGAACAAATCCTTCATCTTGTTTATCAATTCCTGACTGATTATGCAAAAATTCCTGTGGTGAACCAGAGATCTTCAGTATGAAATAAAAATACATGTAGTCAAATTAACTGTCCCGGTCATGTTTAAATTGAAGATGACAAAAGTGATTTTTTTTTACTCGTTGTTTTACAAGAGATATTACACAGTCATGTACTTTCCAAGCAGAAGTGTTCTGTTCAGATTATTCAAATCATTTGTGTTCCTGTACGGTCGAGGGCTGTTATTTTGTCTTTTATATGTTTGTCTTGATCTATCAATGTCTTTTTCAACATTTCATTATGTCATGTCCATGGTCCTTGAACAGATCTATTATGACATATTCAAAGGGAGATGTTTACAAAATCAATAATTTAAGAGTTTTGTAATATCATCTGATATGACTCCTTATGCTTGCATATTACTCATAATATGGGTTTACTCTTACCTTATTAAAATCATCCGTCATGTACTTGCTACCGATGGATACAAAGTACCTGTCGATTCCAGTATGAAGGTCTGTAAATCCCAACCATGACACCCAAAGCTTATATCTTGACCAGGTCATCCAACCATTAACATGACGATGAAGATTTGCTGCATGGTCAGTTTTGATAGCAAACATGCCTAATATTACAACACGATTTAAATACACATGTCTACCCTTGACTATAATTTTTATTTAAAAGATTTACATCAATATATTTGCACTATGAGGTAATGGGGCATAGAAAGACATCTAATGTGTTTCTGAAAGCTTGGTATATATCAAGCCGTTAGTTTACTAGTTGAATTGTTTCACAGTCTTTTATATGCGATTTTCATTGGCAATAATAACACATCTCCTTATTTTTATTTTACAGCTGTACGGGTTTATATAAAAAATAAGAAAAGAAGAAAAAACGAAATTACAAGCTTTATGAATTGGACCGTCTATCCGTTTCACCTTAGGATGCAATTTTGTTTTTATTCTAGATAGACACTTGAATTAATGTACAATATATCTATGTAAGAAACAAAATATATATGTTGAATGCATACTTATTCTTGTTCCATATAAGTGAATAAAACAATTATTGATATGTCTTGCAACCCTCCCCCACACACACACACAAAGATTGAGATAAGTGTACATTAGAGAGTAATCTTGACATGTTACAGATATTGGGTGTCATATTTACAGCTTTGAGGGTTAGACTTTCCTTCCAATATGTTGATTAGAATAGATTTGACTCGTTTAATTTTCATGAAATTTTGACAAAATAATTACTTTGAGCTGTTTAAAGAATATAAATTTTTTTAGGAATTCTAACCATGCAATTTACAGGAATAATCTTATTGGATATATAGCAGTTTGACAAACTATAATTTTGATCATCGAGAAGCTTGATTTCTTTTTACTAATAGTATCTGATTAAAACGTTCAGCTCATTTTTAAAGATTTAACTACCTTAGATGTTCTGTAATCCTTAAAATATCAAAACCTTTACTGCATAATTATTGTATGTGTTAGTCATATAACATTTTTTCCATCATTAATAAGTCTACATTTCTAGGGTATTTCCATTATTCAGCTATCATTATTCATTAGACATGATGTTGTTTGTAACCTCTACTTTTTATTCTTCCCTTTTTTTTAAATAAAAAACCTTATGAATACACACTGTAAGCAGCATTACCAAGAATACTGCAAAAACTAATGCCAACTTGCAAATCTTAAGTGTTCTCTTCCTATAAAGATTACCTGGTGTAGGTGGTGAACTGTCTACTATAATTCCTTTCGATTCATCTTCAACACATACTTTGGCACCATTACAAACTATAACCTTGATTGTATAATTTCCACCATCATGTAAATCAAGTTGTGAAAATGTATACTCCCTCACTATGCCGTTTAACTAAATAAATGATAGATTGCATTAAAAAAGTATGCGATTCTCTGATATGAATATATTAGGAAATATGAATATTGTACAATTATATGTGTTAACTATCAAAGATCAAGATCAACTTATAGTGACATGACATCACCTTAACACAAACTTTCAAATTAATCAAATTATCTATCAGATGTACCTTTAAAGTAATTTCAAATTTTTCAAAGGTGTTTTTTTTTCTTCTTTTGTGATAATGAATCCTATCCAGAAATGTTTTCCTTAATTAGAACATTGGTTATTTTTTCAATTCTCTATTATCTGTTTTATTCTTATTATAAAATAAAAAATATACAGGATTTCCTGAATATTGACTATGTAGTGAATTATTATTTCTATAAATGTTTTACTAGTTACCTCCGTGGAAGATGAATTGAACGCTCCTCCTTTATGTGATGCAATCGATATATACTGGCGCTGTATGAATGATTCTTTGTCTTCAACCTCCCACTGGATTTTCATAGTACTCCGAAATACAACTGAATTATCTTTTATTGAACCAACATCTGCCGATAAGTACGGTTTAACCTGTATTGATGGTGGTGAGTTGTCAATGTAGAACCCGTTTGATGTAGCCTCTGTAGTTAACCCTATAAATTTGAGACAACAGACTCAGACAAAACAACAAAATGAATATATCACTTTATAAATTTGTTGCGATCGAAGCCCGTTCTATATTCACCTTCATTAGGAACGCTAATATCCAAAAACATACAAATCAAAGGATAAAAAAGAACCTTAACATATAAATACAAAAACACAATTGACGTCTGAATCGATTTTCGTATATACCAAAAGTTTGTAGATCTATAAAAAAAACTTTGTAATTTCGGAAATATTGGAGCTAAACACAAGCCTTGTAATTAGTAGTAAACTCATGATTCGAGACCCGGTTTTATCCTTGTATCTTTTTAACGCAATTATACAGTATGGTTGTTCATTTCAATCTTTATAAAAAATAAAAGGATTGTTTTTCACATCCAATTCTTCAATACTATTGTATTTCACTCAAACTCTTACAGCAAACATTTAAACAAAATAATGTAGATATGATAGCTCAGATAGATTTCTAAAACAAATGGGATATTATCATTTCAATAATACCTGCTTTATTGTAAGCTTTTATTGTAATATAAATACGCTGTCCTAATGGCAGTTTTTGTAGTAGATCTGGTTCAACTAGAATATCAGTCTGTGGTAAGTGTGTTGATTTGACAATATCATCTTGACCTGGCTTCGTTCCGGCTCTCCAGGAAAATCTGTCTATACCTGACTGTGGGTCCGTAAATCCGTACCATCTAGCAGAAATGTAACGCCTATAACAGAAAAAAACATTTCTGTACTCAACTTAGAGGTAGTAAGCCACTTTAAGCATTTACTCACATTTTGATAATACGAACATTTTTGATATTTTAAAACGACATTAAAAACATCAGGATTATATAATAAATCTATAAAAAGACAAGAGAACGCCATTGCTTAGAAAACAGACTGTAGACACACAATTGTCCATTAAATGCTACATAGAAAAGTTAAATTTGATAAAACAAACTTCATTAAAACCCAGGGCTGAACTTAGTTGCCTTTTATTTATGTTGTTGTGATGTTAACAATAACAGCATTGTAACAATTTCCCGTGAAAATACTTTTTGGCATATCATATAATAATGTGTGCTTTCTCCTTAACCTGAATATGCATGCACTACGATTCAAGCAAAGGAATAAATATAAATGGTTTCACTCAATACGTTTAATTACAAATCGAAAGTGTTTTTCGATGAATATAAATTTGAATCACGCTGTTTGCACCTCAATGACTGATATTCCAAGTCATACACATCTACACCATCTAGCACTATTCCTTGTGTTGGTGGGCTGTTGTCAATAATAACACCGTCTGACGTCACAGATGTACACATGTCAGCAGTATTACATGCTGTGATAGTAGTATAGTATCGAATGCCTGATCCCAATTGCATATGACATAAGGTGTAATCTAACAAAAAGCAAAAGAATCGCATTAGTATCTAGAGAAATTCACCAAGGTTGACAATTACAAATAATGAGTCAAGTGCGTACTATAAAGTAGACTATGTTTTTCTTAGTTTGAAATTCAGTTGTTATTGTCTCATAGGCATCTGCATTATAACTTAAATTTATTGCAACAGGATACATGTCAATATGACATTTCAAGTTACAAGAACTGTTGGCTATTTGTTCCACAATTTAAGACCATACATGTGCAAAAATGTTTACCACAGGACAATTAAAAAATAAACTTGCAGTTGGAACAGCTCCAATTCATTGTATGCAATAAATTTGAATATTTACTGCAACATTTTGATTGGTCAGATTTGAGATAAGGTACATGTGTAGAGCCCATATTTCCGGAGTCAAGTCTAGGTTTTATTTTTACGTGAAAGATCTATGAACGTATTCTTATCATAACCTAATAGATTACAAACTGTTAGATATTAGGAATAACGAAGCACGGGTTTGTTCATGCAAGTTCATGGTTTCATTCGTAGATCGAGTAAAATGTGTGTGCACAAGACACATGTCATATCTAAACTGCATAAATTTCATTTGATCTCCAGTAAAGGTAACGGTTCATATTGACGCTATCCTGCTAAACATGCGAAAACCCTACATTTTTACTAAATATGAAGTTTTCAAGTATATTGATCATTCATATGAGTGAAAACTAAATTGGTTTTTTTTTTGTAAAATCCATTTAAGCATGTCAGCTATACAAATGTCTTTTATTCAAGGTCTTGTTATAGTTTTATATTTACTAACATTGATAAAAATACATCTGTTGCCGTCCAATGAACTTTGTAACTATAATGAAACATCCGTTTTATAATATCATTTATAGGATACATTGATAAATATCTACTTATATTAGGTATGACACATGATTTTTTTAACACATTCCTTCCATAATATAAATGCTTTCAACTTACAGAGCTCATAAAAACAAAGAAAATGGTGTTTAAAATATGAAGATACCTTTAGCGGTTCAAAAGTTATGACCAAAACAAATTTAAAAAATAGCGATATTTTCTGCCACTTTTGCTATATTTGATACAAAAATGATAAAATCTCTAATTTTAGAGGCTTTTATCTCCACATTTGTTGCTAACAAAACCTAAATAATCTCTAAATCTTCTAATTAGGGATATATTAGACTGGTATGGTCTTTACTAGTTACATAAACCCAAAGTTTCCAAAAATATAAAAACCACAAATAGGTCTTCAAGCACCCTTGGAAACGTGTCCGAACTGCAGAAACGACAGAGTCCAGCATTTTTTCTCTTGAATTGGCTGTAATTCCTTTACTATTTGCATTACCTCCTTACAAATTTGGCTACCAGGGTAATTTGGCATGCTCTTTCATTTGGCATTGTCAAAATTGCAATATCTTAAGTGGAAATTTGAGTTTTGTTACCATGGTAACCATTTTTTTCAATGATCTAATTTGAAGCAACCATCGTACAACCCGTTAAATATTCAATTTCCAAATTATCTTTGCACACATTTGTTTTCTGAGACTTTTTGGCATGCTTTTTCTTTTATCAATGTTAAAGATATATTTACTGGTCAGGACATGATAGTTTTGTTATCCTTAATTAGTCAATTACCATGGCAACAATTAACTACAACTTTCCACAAAATATATTGCATACTTTAAAATTAAAAAGTTACTGTTTTGTTTCAATGTTTTTTTTAAGGAAGACCATGTAATTTCTAAAATGTATATGGTGTATCCTTTCAGGGAAAAACAACCAAATGTGTTTATTTCAAATATGTCTGCAGTCATGGTAATGTGAATCTTTAAAAGGTTGGTTTGGCCAAAAATGATATAAAACAGTGGAATATGTAATAATTTAAGTAACAAGATAAAATAGCAATTAACAGTTACATGTAACATTGAAAATAAACATTTTCAGAACAGATTAACAATTTTCAAAGTATTTTTCCACAAATTGTTTATGCAATACTTCAATTTCATCCATGTCAGGAATGAGCCAATGTCTAAGCCCCGGAGAGGGCATTATTTCAAAATCAGAATAAATTATAAATTTTTCATTAATACTATCTATATCGTCTTTGTTTGGCCAAATAAAAGTATTTCCTCTCATACTTTTTCGTTTTAAAAACTTTATAATGTATGCATTGTCAATCATATCAATAATTTCCCCTGGATACCAATTATCCTCGTAGGATACTGCAACCCATATCCTTTTTTCTAAAACTTTCTGTTTGTCAATTTTCAAAGTTAGTGTTAAAACATCTTTCATTTGGTTAACAGTGTTTTTCCACATTATGTCTTTTTTATCAACATCTAAATTCATAAAATGTTTACAATAAAGTAACTGATTTCTGAGTTTTTCTTTCTTTAATCTGATTGTTTTAGACGATTGTAAAAGACAGTCAACATCCTTCCTAGATCGCACTATACCACCCATTAGCCTCACATTTAGTTCAATTTTGTTTATTTCCATCTTTTTCTTTTGTTCAAGCTGTTGTTTTTTCTTCTTTATTTGCTGTAAATGTGTTTTCCTAGCTTCCATAACACTCTTTTCATATGCAATTTCTTTTGACTTTAAAGATTTAGCACTTTTTCTAGCTTTTAAAAGTAAAACTTTCCTGGAATTTTTAGTTTTAGTTTTTAGCCATTGTATTGTTTTATTTCGTTTGAGCATACTTATTGCAGAATGATGTCTTAAAGTTGCATTTGGTTTTCTTTTGAAATAAAAGTCTAGATCTCCAAACAAATTTTCCGCGGGTATATTTGTTAACTTGCTATGTGATGTTCTTGATTTCAGATCTGGATCAGGGAGCGATCCATATACTCCATTTTCAAGGTGGTCATTAAGTTGTCTTTTTACAATTGTCAACATGGATGAACATATAATTTTAAGAATGTCATTAGTTTTAGGATGTATCTTTGCCTTGTTGAATACCTGTTGAATTATGTCATGTGGATATTGTTCATACAAACTAGGAATTTCGTCATAATCAAAATCAAAAACATTGAAATCATTTGAGCTCCAATCAACCAATCTATCTCGTAAAGGTATAATAAATTTGTAAAGATCTAAGTAATGTTCATCACTGTTAATTACATTCCAGAATGGTTCAGCTAAAATCATAGATGCTATGGCAATGGCGGAAACATGGGAGAGAACATCAGGACATTTAATGTCCGCAAGAACAGATTGCAATTTATCATTTGGGTTTTCTCTATAGTTCGAAATAAAGTCAATTATGTCTTCAGAATGGTTCAAAATAGAAACAGCACTGTAAACAAATTGCTGAACCTATTCCCCCTGTAATTTATAATCATGGAAGATTTTTGTTTTAGAGCTAAAAAAGCAAGCCACTCCTGTCTTGCACCGTTCTTCTCGTCACCCCTTGGACCTAAAACTTCTGAAGCCATACGAATTAATCTGATGGATGATGGCTCAGAATTGTGTTTGAAACGAGCAAATTTTGGCAATGAATCTCTTCCAATAGGTGGAGTTTGTTTTGCTAATTCTTTAAGTGATTTTGTTATTTCATTGTGGAAGCCTAAAAGTATATGTGCACTGCAATAAAAGAAATTAAGTTTTGATATGTCGTTCTCATTTAAATCTTCTGTCAACTTTAATTTTCTCCATTCATCAATAATTTCATTTGTTTTTTTCATCACGCTTGAACGATCACTCATCATAGCTGTAAGTTGCAACAATAATTTATTAATAGATATGCTTTGAAGATCAGCAAACTCATTTAAAGAGTCTTTAATTGTTTGAGCAACAGTATCTGAATCCTCCCTTGCCACTGATTTATATCCTAATGATAATGTACCGGTTTTTGTATGTACTCCTAAATCTATTATTTTTTTTCCTTCACGACCGGTGCCATCTGAGAAAATGTCAAATTGCTGACAGTTAGCCAATGTTTCACTCACATGATGTTTAGCTAAAACATGTCCTTCATCACATATATTTGAAATTGTCGATCTACATGGCAAATCTGATGGTACAGAGTCAAACAAGTTGTTGCTTACAATATTTATAACTTTAGAAATTTTGTTTGCAGAAATATCACTGCCATGGAGATCCATAATGCATGTTCGCATGCTATCAGTGTATCTGAAACCTTCCTTTGTAGATACTTTTTTATTTTGATTTTCTGCCTCAATTATATCTAACTGATCATTTGCAACACTTAACTCTCTCTTTAGATTTAATGTTTCAATTTTTTTATTTTCTAAATCAACATTTTGGCTGTGTAATTTCTGTTTGAGTTTGATATTAAATTTCTTCGCATGAGATAATCGGTTTGACAATCTGTGAATTTTAATTTTTTTTTCATTCTTTTTTTTGGCAAAATCTGTTTCAATAGCTCTTATTCTTGCATTTAGACCACTGTTTTCTCTGTTTAAAGCTTTATTCTTCTCTATTATTTTTCTTTCTTTCTTTTCAAGCTTTTTCTGTTTTCGCCTTAATCTCTTACAAAAATTTTCCTTTTTCAAAGAAGTTAAATTTTCTTTTAAAGATTTATTTTCTTCTTTTAAGTTTACATTTGCCTCCTTTGTCAACCTTAGTTTTCTAAGTTCCTGGTTTCTTTTCACTGATTCAGATTCATTATTCCTGATGTTTTTCTTTTGTTCAACAATTTGTTCTTTTAACACTTCATTTTCAAAACACAACTCTTGATTTTCAGTCAAAACTTCTCTCTGATTTGCTACAAGTTTTAAACACTGCCTTTTTAATGATCTATCATTTTTCTGCATATCTGTTTGTAATTTTGGTTGTAAAGTACTATTAAGAAACTTAAAGAATTTGGATGATTTAAAAGTGTCAAGATCTTCATTTTGTCTATTTTTCATGTAACTTTGAAAATTGTCATTAATTTTCTTGTATAAATATAGAACTTTATGTTTGTTCACAAGCATGCCTTCTGGCAACATATTGTTGGTCCATTCAGCCACATCTGACCATGTATAGGAATACCGGTTTTTGAAAAGACAGATTTCATGGAAAGCTTTCACAGTTAAAAGAGTACTTGATAAATTTTCCGGTGGATGGAGCAGAGTTGACCGGCGTATACCTAATGCATCACATACATTTCCTATACTTTCATTATTAATAGTTGTAGGCTTTTCTTGAGGAGTTAACTGATAAACAATATTCTTTAAATTTATGTTTTTATTCACATTGTTCATTACACTTCTGGTGACATTGGCCCATTTTTTTGGTACTGTAACAGCAGGCATGGCATAACGTAAAACATCTTCAAGGGTTGCATATATAGGACACTCCATTTCCTGCACCATCATGAAAAGTAGGGCATATTGTACATTTGTGATTGACTGTATTCCTACAATAGAAAGTACATTTATATAACAAGTATTAACTAAATCATCAGAAGATGCTAAAACAAAACAGCAGTTACCTGTATTGCATTGTTTTATTAGTACAATTTTAGACCCATCTATTAAATAAGATCCAAATGACTTCTAAGATTTATATATTCAGAATTTATAAACAGGGTTTTTTCTTCCATTCAATAATGTATTAAGATATTAATAATATCATTAATTCCCCAAAATTGTATCTCTACAGAGAGAAAAAAATAAATAAGGCTATGAATGACGACGAAAAAATAAACTGTTTGTCTCAGAAGTTTTATCCCTCTTTCCTGCTGCCCCCCCCCCCTCAATAAACCTGGGAAAAAAACTAAGTCCAGACCTGGGAAAAATTTGAGCAGCACTTCCCCTACAATAGACAATTTTAGTTTCACCCCCTCCCTATTTCACCCAGGCCAGAAGGGAGGAATATATTTGCAAAAAAAAAAAAAAAAAAAAAAGGAGAAAGAATGGGGGGGCAGGTCTCATTTATCAGACATGAGACCATCCAATTCTCTCTTTTTTCAATATTTATTATCATTTCTTACATGAAAATATATAATCTTACCTGCTTTTATCTTTTTGTTGATCAAATCATGTAAAAATTCCTCATTCCAGTCACTCAAGTCCATTAATTGTTGACGTTCCATTTTTTTTCTGAAAATTTTTGACGTTTGACGTAACGTTTACTTTTGTGGCGTCGTTAGTAACGGAAGAGTACAAAGGTCATGACCGGCAAAAGAGCCAATTTCGTTAGTTTCGAACTTTCAACTGTATTTTGAAGAAAAAATTCTCAGCTTTCTAATGATACATTTTTCAAATATTAAACTAATTGGGAACCATTTGTAAAACTCAAATTAAGACTTTAAATATATTTTTTTACCGTAAAACATAAATTTTCTTCAAAGAAAAATATATCATCTCAAAATACGAAACTGCCGCTTTTAAATGGACCATAGATTATATGCAAATGGCGACTGGCTCATTTACCGGCGAAGCCATGAAATTCACCCTTTTTATCAACAAACGCAAATTTTTGACCGTGACGTCGGGAAGAAATTCAATACTCGCTGATCGGACCTTTTCAGATAAACAGGAAAATATGTAAAAAACTTCTTTTGCAACGAAATTTGGCAGAACTAATCAGTGGGTTACAGTTGTTTACAAAATGTTATTTTCAATTTCTTTTTCAATACAACCTTTTCTGCAGGGAAATTTGAAAATTCGATTTTATTTCATGACCACCAATGTACGATGACAAAATGGCGTCATGTGTCATACCTACTTATATAATGTTTGTCGTAAAAATATAAACTTACTATAAGTTATTCCAATATCCTGGTTGACTAATAAGTCTTCACATTCTGGACAGGTCCCTATGCTGACATAATATGCCTTAATGGTAGAATGTGGATCGTGAAAACCTTCCCAGTAGGCAGACAGTGTCTTCACATCTGTTTGGTAATCTCTGTCTTTCATATAAGACGCAGCAGTTTCTTGACTACCATCGTAGACATGACCAGCAATTGGTGGTGACATATCGTATATGTAAGCCCAGGACGACGCTGTGCTGATAAGGTTTGCTCTATTTATAGCCTAGCATTAACACAAATTATAAAGTCAGTATCACGTAAAAAAATATTTCTGAGAGAAAGTTCCGTATGGGTTTTGGTCACATCAAAAGACCTCTACATCTTTTAATGAATATCATGCTTAACTGACTGATTCCATATATAATCAAAATCTTAATTTCAAGTGTTTCTTCCAGAAACTTTTTGACAATGTTTAGATCATCTATCATAAGGTCGCTTCAATATATTTTGGTATACTAGTACCCAAATAACAAAAAAGACAAACTAACAAACTATTTTCGAAACCTGTTTAATAAGTAAATGTTTACTAAACAAGAATTTAAAACACAAAGTTCTGAGATTCTAAAATATTTTAATTATAAAAATTAATCATAAACACCAACATACCGAGCCAGTTTAAAAGCGTGTGGTAAGTTCAGTATTTCATTGGTTAAGGCATTATAAACTAAATTTAAGCAACGGCCACGGCGATTACGTAATCGTTATCATATTTTTCGTGGTTTGTTGTGGTAATTTAAATTGTCGTAGGTTTACTCGGAACTTCTTATATTAATTTGTGGTCCTATTTAGTTCTATTTTAATCACGTGTTAGAAGTGTGTATCATCAAACATAAGTCTGAAAAGGGTCCATAATATTATGTTTGGTTAACATTTTAATAAATCCTTTTACTGTGAGTTATTGACTCTTAGTTTTCCGTGTTGAGATGAAAACAGATAAACGCATCCTATATTTTAGTTGACAACACTAGTCATTTTGGTGCCCTTTATAGCTTGCTGTTCGGTGTGAGCCAAGGTTCCGTGTTGAAGACCGTACTTTGACCTATAATTATTTACTTTTTATACATTGTGAAGTGGATGGAGAGTTTTCTCATTGGCACTTATACCACATCTTCTTTTCTATATATAAGATATATAGATTTTTCATGGCGAATTCATCATTTCTTTTATTTATGATTTTACCTGTGGCAATGTTGGATGGTTGTTAGGAACAATAATCACTATTCTAGATAGGAAATTAATTTCAACGTTTTTTGGTCATATAGCTCTTCGACTGTTGTGGTTCTTGTACATCCTTGGCTTTCACATATTCGGCTTTGAGCGTTCCTGATGAAGGTAAATCCAGAAAAGCGCTTCGGGCGCATTAAATTTATAACGTGTTGTTTCATTTTTTTTTTATAAAATTATGTTTTTAGTAAGATTTTTTTTATATTAGTCTTCTATATTAAGTACAGTTGAATCTTTCGATTTAAAGCAACGTGTATCATAAATCATAATTTGCTATTTACTCTTTACTCTTTACATGAAAGAGAGGCGAAAGATACCAAAGGGACATTCAAACTCATAAGTCGAAAATAAACTGACAACGCCATGGCAAAAAAAAGAAAAATGGACAAACAGACAAACAACAGTACATAAAACACAACATAGAAAACTAAAGACTGAGCAACACGAACCCCACCAGAAACTGAGGGTGATTGAATTTTCGTCAGCATGTTTGAATTATAATTTATTGAATTAACCTCATTGACGGTTACTAGGATAGTTTGAACCCGTGGTTTGTAATGTTTAAGGATGTAAAAGATCGTAATTATATAGCAAAGTAAACTATACGCATAATAAAATATAACTTTATTGTACAACGGAATTATAATACAATTTACCTTAACGGTGATAAAGTAGGCATGACCTTCATGGATATCAATTTTTGTATCTTCAGCTGATACTCCACAATCTAATGTAGTCTTTGTAAATGGGATAATATCGTCGTGTCCAGGATGAGATCCTACTGACCATAGGTAATGATCAATTCCACTATCTTTATCTAAAAATACATCTCTCCAACTGCAACGTAAAAATTATTTGAGATTGAAACATTACATTAGTTTGAGAATGAAATGAAAAGCAAAAGATATAGGTTAAACGGCTATGAATCACACACCTTCACTTGCATATTAACATTTTCTACAAATATTTAGAAAAAACCCTGTCTAGATACATCTCTCTTCTAATATAAAATTAATGGATTACAAGTGAATGTTTGATTAGTAGTTTGTGCAGTGACGTCTTGGATGTCAATGGACGTAGACATTTTCTGACCAAAACTATAAAACAGTGCATTGATCACAATTTCGCTAATGTTTATCACTAATTCGGAAGTGCGATTTCATATGCAAGAATTTTCGAAAAGGATATTTCACTCTCCTTCTGTTACGACAATATCATTTATAAGGCTGAATCGTTTTGGTATTGTTCCATAAATCATTTTTATTATTTGACTTTGATTGAAGTCATAACTTTATAGATATTGATCAAATATTGTGCTTTGTAGTCTTTTGTGTAGATATTCACAATTTGTCATGCTTAGTGCATTTACGACTTGAAAGTTACTCAAACCGTGATATGAGTTGTAGAAATTTATATACCAAGTATTGATTTCACTCATATCAGACAAATGGCGCCCTTCAATAGTTATTGGTTGGTCAGACTTTTCTGGCGGTGTGGCGTCAATTTTCACTGGATGTGAATCTGCTATTGCACTTCTAGTTGCAAAGTCTAGTGCTGAAATACAAAGGAAACTACATGTATATTATAATCGTGTAATTGTATTTAAAGAACATTTATGTGTTCCCAAGTGGCAATTGAAATATAAATAAAAAAGATAGGTCATCTCCTGATGACCGTTCGATGGCGAAAACAAACTTCTAAACCTCGCCATATCTGAATATGCCCGTTTCATGTCAGGTGGTTTCTTTATTGATGTCATAGTTGTTGCTTGTTTTATCTATATTCTATTGGGTTGAGGGGGTTGGATAATTTAGTGTTATTTGCATATCTTTTTTATTCTATGATAGATCTTTTCACATCGTTTTAAGACTTTGGGCAAATTAAAGCTGAACATGTTGTATAGACGCTTGTTTGTTGATTATTTTTGATACAACGTTTTGACCTTAATTTCTTTCAAGAAAACAAAGTATTTATAATAGTCATGTATCGCAATACTTGCAGATAGAAGTTTTTTTAAAACGAACTGCCTATTGCTATTTTATTATTTCTAAAAAAAACAATATAAATTGGGACAGATTGAAATATACAGGTTACCAAAAAGGCGGCCACTGTAACTACCTCCGCGGTTGAATACATTCTATCATAATCTGATCTTCTGTTGAATACAGCTTAGAAGTCAGTGATACCTTTAACTGTGGCATAATACTCATGTCCATTCTGTAGCCGTACATCATGTATTGTGTAATGGTTTATAAGACCGACAGTTGTATATGGAAATACATCAGTTCCTCCTTTCGTTGATCCTGGAATTAGTTTTATACAATAACTTCCATAGTTTAAAGGAAAAACAAACTTATAACTACAGCTTAAGCATTAAGGTATTAGGGTATCTTTTTCTGAGCATCCCTTCTGTGCATGTTGCAAAAATACTTTTTTGTTTTAAAAATATTTTACCTTGTAACATTTAATATACCTCAAAAATATCTAAAAATTGAAATTTAAAGATTAAACTATCAAAAATTAAGTGTCGTAAAGTGTATTTAAAATTTTCAGATAATTATACAGAATTTGATAGGACAATTTGCGTTTTTTTTTTCATTTTTCAAGAAAATAAGGTTTGTGACCCCTATTTCTATGAAAAGCAATTCTCGCATTCAATTTTAGCCAATTCTATCGTTTTATGTTTCATCAATTCGTTGAATTCGATGTATTTTAACGAAAAAATAAAGTTACCCCTAGTTTTTATATTGGAATTTAAAAGAGCATTGACCCAGAAGTCTTTTACAAAAGTTTAAGAAAAATCTATTGTCGAACATTGAGAGACCCAAGCTACCTTATATGAAAGAGAAGAAAAATTTAATTGTTGAAATCAGGGGAAAATGTATCTGCGTTTAATTCCAATTGTCTTTCGTTTAATCTATAGAGCTAAATTAATACTGCTTCTATAACGGAGATGATTTGTGAATTTCATGAATTTTTGTATTCTTACCGATTCCAACTTGATATTCTTTAATTCCCGAACTATGCACAGTTTTCTTATATTCTTCCACATCGGTAAAGGTATCCCAGCTGACGAAAATATCTGACGACGATGACTGTTAATGGAAAACAAAATTTAGTACACAGATATATTTACATGTTATCAGCAATACTGTTATGAACGATCCATGGGTACTTTGAAAACATCCAAATAATGACTTGACATAAAAACACATTGATAACCAGGATATACATTGTAAATTGTATACACGAATACTTGATTTAAAACTACCACACAATCAGTTCACTCTATATGAATGCTCCAATCAAAGAGAAGCGAAAGATACCAAAGGGATAATCAAACGCATAAATCAAACAAACTGATAACGACATGTCTAAAAAACGAAAAACGACAAAAACACAAACAACAGTATACAAAACACAACGTAGAAAACTAACGACTTAGCAACACAAACCCTACAAAAAACTGCAGTAAATAAATTGTCTGTTTTTATCAATTATACTAATTCCGCTGATTAACGCAATAGCTGTCATAATAAGTTGACTAGAAAGTACTTACCCTTCTGCTGCACCTGAATTAATCTAAACCCATTTACTGTCATAGTCCTACTCAATATTCAGTTACTCTCGAATGATTTTTTTACTTTTGGTTGTCTTTCTCTTGGTTCGTAGTATTTGCCTGTCATTCGTCTACCTCTTTATTTTTTTCATTTATTCCAAAATAACTCAATTGAGAGGTTTAGCTAGCTATAAAACCAGGTTTAATCCACTATTTTCTACATAAGGAAATGCCTGTACCAAGTCAGGAATATGACAGTTTTTTTCTATTCGTTTCAACTTTGATGTGTTTGAGCTTTTGATTTGGCCATTTGATAAGGGACTTTCCGATTTGAATTTTTACTTGGAGTTCTGTATTTTTGTTATTTTACTTTTTTCAATTATAATGCAATGCTACGATGTCAATAAATTCTTACTTGATATTTCCTATCGGGATCAATACCAATCCACACTTGACCAGGTGTAGGTGGTGTTAAATCAACCGTGACCCCATCACTGCAAGTATTCGTTTCTTCTAAAACCTCTGTCCACTTCTCATATTGTATCTCTTTCTTTGGTGCATGGATACAAATTATGTATCGTTTTCCATGTTCTAATTCTTCATTTATATCGAATATAACGTTAACGTATTCTTTGTCTAAAATAAATAAAGAAATCATAATGTCAAAAATGTTGACAATATTCTGACTCAAAACTTGTTTTCAACAGCTAGAGAGAGGGTATATTTTTTAAACATTCTTTTCATTTCCAGATAAGTTTTAGATAAAACTCAAGTGAAAAACCATTAAATTGTTTCATTATAAACCTCTTATATTTTACTTTATGACAATAGCAACATACACAATAACTATATAAAGCTTATATTATATATAAAAAGAAGATTATGGGGTTAGATGGACATTGAGACATCTTTCTACCAGACACAAAATGAATGAAGGAGTTCACCTGTAAATCCGCATTTAATAGAATCAGGATGTGAACAGGGATCCTTCAATTTTAGCTTTGCATCATCTTTATAGTAACTTGTGATATCTAAATTTTCAGAGTCGATGACAGCCCATGTGTAGTTCTTGTGACGTAATAATGGCCACGTTCCTGATATAATATTTTTATACGGTGTATAATCAACATCAGACTCGTCCCATCTGCCATTCACTTCGAGATAAATGTCATGTCCGTATCCATCACGTTTTGTTCCATCTAATTAAATAAAAGTTTTATCATAGTGAGCATATGTTTATCAGATTAACATTACTTATCCAAATGTAAGTTTAATACATGAAACATACGAGCAAATAGATTATTACATGTATGTGTATCATTTAAAAAAAGGTACATTTCATGCATGACTTCCTTTAACCAGTGTTTTGTAATGAACCTTTATTTTATTACTGGATTGGTGTCTACTTCAAAGGACTTATTTCAACAAATTACAATTGTAAGGTTAAAATAACATAACATACCCATTGTAGTCTCTTGTATTCCAATAGCATCAATTACAACATTTGATACAATTAGAGAATCACCCTCATTGACTTTGCATGTTTTAATCTCCGTGGAAATCGTAGACCAAATGCCAGCCTTATTGTAACCCCTGATGAATATCTTACGACATTTTGAAAAATCCAAACTATTGTTCAAAGGTACAGTGAATAGTATCTGAAAATTATGCAATTACTAAGTGAACATTTTTTTAAATAAAAACATTCTATAGGTGTTTTCAAGTTTTTACTCAAGGAGTATTATATCTTTATGCAATTGCTTAACAAATGAAGGGTAATCTAGAAAATTTGCAATTTACAATCAACTTGGTATAGTAAGTATTCAAAACGTGATATGCATTATGCTCATACAATTATGTATTACTTTACTGCTATAAGCAAATTATATATGAATGTAACTCAGTGATCAGTTTTATGAGGTGTGTTTCTTGTTTATAAAAATAATAAATGATAACAATATAATAGCACTCTGTTTTAAGTCGTGAGTGCTTTATGAAAAAAAATCGGACTACAAATGTTATGCTTTCAAGAATTTAATTTCTTTATCATGAATACATGTACTCTAATGAAAGCAGTGTCTTCTTAAAATTCCAATGTATATGTGAATAGATACTATCGTTCCAAATTGTGTTTTTGACAAAAGACGCATTACATCTGCATCATCAAATCATGGAAGTATTATATTGACAGGAACTACTACGACCCAATTTCAAACGTTCCATCTGCGATGCCGCGCGCAATTTAATGACATGTTAGTTAACTTGAAACATGGCACGTTATTTACACACCAGCGTGTGGTGCCATACAATATCGTCATTCTCGGTTGCTTTCGCGATTACGGAAATGAACGAAGAAATCGAAAGTTGTGGTAAATTCTTCGGAAACAGCCATCGGTAAACCTCGGCAGATTCCGTTACCCTACATCTGCATATGTGTGCCGATTGATAGATTGATGGATTTGTGTGAGATATCATTTATCCATTATATTTGTACCATATTAATTGAATAAATGCTACATGTTTATTGATTTATTTTTCGGAACAAATTGCACTATATGTAATATATATCGCAAGTTGTGATTATATAATAACTGTTTACTCCAGTGGCACACATATCATGCATATTTAAGACGATTGTAAAATAATTGTTCTGATAAAAAGTAAAGATCAAAGAGATTTGAAATAAATGTAGAAATTATCAACCTTCGCTCTAAATCCAGATCCTTGGTTGGTATACGAATGTTTCAGCTGAGCCCGATGTGTTGAAATTTTGTATACTGCAACTGTTCAATAATATTTACTAGTATCATTTGGACAGATAGTGATAAAATATTTTATGGGACAGAGATACTTTACCTATTCCATAACATTTTATAAGTCTGGTTTTTTTTCTCAAATTGATAAATAAGGCTCAAATCATAAGTCAAGATTGGCACATTCATAAATGACAAATAGAAATACTGACACCGGCTGCATATTCGTTCAAATACGAATATTTTAGCCGTTTTAAATTTCACAAATGTCAAAAAAATTTAAACCTACTTATATATATTTATTTATTTTTTATAAATAACGAGGTGCGTCTTTTTTTAACTATATTTGTTATGTTGAATTTCTGTGATATTAAGTCCTTGATCGATTAATTTTCGCATTTAAAACTGAAAATTTCTACACATTAATCGGGTCGTCACAGTGTATATATTTATTAAGAAAATTTTCGTGACCCGGCGTTAACCGGAACACGCCCTTTTGACAGTTTTAACTTAACCCCCGAAGAAATAAAATAATGTCACTCACTATTTTGAATCGTTGTAGAATAATTAATTCTAGGCCTGTTTTCATTTTTTATGTATCAGTCGATTTGTTTAAATAATTTGTTCATGAATAAATGTCAACCTACGCGATTGAAATACGTAAAGGTGTTTTCCAACAGGTATTGATGTTAATATGTCTGGATAAAAAGCACGTGATTAATAAGAAGTATCTCTGGTCAATTTATGACCGCGTCATCGCAGATAGTCACAAAAGAAATACACGACAGCGTACTTATAAGACAGTTTCCATATCTTTTCTACAGTGCTACCCTGGTTATAAATAAGTGCTAATTAATCGTTGTAGTTCCTGTCAATATAATACTTCCATGATCAAATTAACTTGCTTAACAATAATTTTGATTAAACTATGGTATGACGGTGTATTTTTAATAATATTTCACCGTTTACTATGATTTGGCAAAAAATTTGGTACTTGTTGGTTTTATCAGCTCTTCCAACGTGTGTATCAGGTTTTGACCTTTATAAAATATCTTGGTTTCGAGATAGATTAATTGTCGTAACGCGTATCTGTTGCATTGTAATTTGTACCGTCAATGTTGATACTTTGCACATTCTGGTATCTCTTTGTTGTTTGTTGGTATCTTTTGCCTATCTTTTTCAGGCAAATAATAAAAATAAAAGCGCCATTCCGTTGCTTTTAGGTTTGTATTTGAATAAGGTCATTTTTTTGTCATTCAATCGATACACCCTATCCTTTCTTCTCCATTTTGCTGTTGAACACCTGGTTTCAGTATTGTTAGGTTTGATTGTCTACTTTTTCAATAGAACTTTAATACAAATATAATATAGCAAAATTGTGTTCTTTAGTCTAAAACTAAAACATTCATGCTCTCATCTATAATGATCAACGACAAAATACAAAACAAACAAGTGAGACTGGGAGCTACTGCTCACTGAAGATACCCCCCGCCGCATCACAAGGTATAGCTGACTTATATAAACCCTGAAACCCAAATTTCAGAAACCCTCGTTATGTAGTTCCTGAGAAAGATGCGACGAAAAATAGTCATGGGACGGACTGACGGACTGACGGACAGACAGAGGTAAAACAGTATACCCCCACTTTTTTAAAGCGGGGGTATAAAAACTTACATGCTCCATATCAACGACAGTAGCGTTGTCAATCTCATTCCATATTGTGTGAATACCAACATTGTCTCCTAATGCCCATTCATAATAATTAACAACACGTTGGGCCTCTGCGTGGTCTTTTATATCAGGGTCATACATCCTCTCAAATGTTACTAAAAGCTATACGAAAATAAATATTCAGATGATAGGCCATATATTATTTTTTCTTTAATTAATTAGCATGTTAGTCGATCAAATAAATGTGGATTGATGAAATAAAGAAAACTATAATGAGTACATAGATAGTACTGTCGAAAAATTACGAAATTATAATATTTCGAAAGGGTAATTGTGTGAATGCCTTAGTGTACAAAATTAAGATAACTCTGGCTTATTTGTCATGCTAACGTCATCTAATCAATCCATTTGTCGAGTGTAAAACTAAAAGAGGTTCAGCAAAGCATTTAAATTTGTTTTTTAACAAAATGATCATTATCTGAAGAAATTAGTGTGCTATACTGTTGATTCATAGTTTGTATACTAGTGCATGTAAAAACAAAAACAAAATAAGTGCTATCAGTGTATACAAGTTACAAGTGTGCTTGACTTTCAATCTTTAATGTGTTCTTCATGATCACAAAGCCACTTAACTAGTTTAACTTAATCTTTTGCATAAAACAATACCCAACATCTATGAAAACGTCTCATGCTTTTTAAATGTGCTATAAACTACCTGGTGATGTTTTGGTTCATCAACCTGGTGAACAGTGACGTTGCCAATAGATGGAGGATTGACTATGACAGTAATACCATTGCCATATACTGGTGGAAAACATAAATCTTCTGCGCAAAACTTAACAACAGCTCTATAGGATTTCCCTGGTTCCAAATCTAAATTACTTAACGTGATATATTGATGTTTTCCTACATACTGGAACTCCCTATATTCCTTCCAGATATCTGTTAACGAAAACATTATCCTTTAGAACTAAGAAGACAAGATGAAAATATTTCCGTTAAACACTTTGTTAAAGACAGTCTGGACTACAGGGAAACAAAGTGTATTTCTATTCATTATATATTTATCAAATAATTGTAATGTTGTTTAAACGAAAAATAATATTAGATTTGGTAGTTGTTCTGAAAAATAGATTTTTTTTCTAACTATCTATAATAAATATTATGCGTTCTATGTGCTTTGAAAATTGGTCTCGGAATTTATTGTAAATACACCTATAACAATATCCTTAAATCTTTTTGAGCGATATGGATTTGTTACCGTTACTATACACATAGTTTTGATTTATTTGAATAAATTCTCTCATTTTTTATTGATAAGAATCAAAATCAAAAATGGATTTGACAGAAATATAACAGTTCAAAAATAATTATTACTACACAATGCATAAGGTAAATAACGAACCTCCAAACACTCGTTCTTCAAGTTGAACAAATGCATCTCTTATGTAATCTGTGTACATTGATGGTATCGACCAATATACGTGTAAACTCGTTGTTGAAGATTGAAATTCAACATCCTCCTCACAAGTAGGCCGCGTGTCCTTTAAAAATAAAACAATAAATAGAACACAACATAATTTTATAACCTGTAGTAAATATCATTAAAATCTTTTTAACTGATGACAATGAGAATATTTTTTTATAAACACATTATTTGTAAATTATTCCTCTGTGAAAACTCTTGGGTCGATAGCCATCTCTCGATTAAGCTCGCAATCTTTTCGTATTTAGTGCATACATAAATATGAATTGGGGTTATACCTCATTGAGATATTGACACAAAGATAGAAACTTATTATTAAAAACAAATTAGAGGTCAACTTGTGATTTTCAACAGTAGAAAGTTTTCTGTACAATATCGTACGCTCTAAATCACCAATAGGCACCAACAGTTATGAATGCAATTAACAGAACTTTCAAAAATATTCTATCAACCCAAAATTCTTTTTTAAATGTAAAAATATTAAAGACAAATACTGACGATGTTTCTGATTGAGATCGGCCCCCTGAAAATCTGATTGGTAAGTATTGAATTGTAGCTGGTTTTATTCTGTTATTATGATATGCTTATGAATGAGTAAACAAGGAAGAAGCCTGTCTTATAACGTATATAATAACCTTAATTCATAACTCATTGAAACAGTTTGAGAACATACCTTGCTATGGTGACTCAGCTTCAAGTCTGGGGCCACTATAATAAACGTGAAGAATATTTTTTAAGAATAGGAAATATAGGTTAATATCATATTATTATATTATGAACATTAATACCATATATGAGACATTAAATTAGGTAAACCTTTTTAACTTTGGAAAAAAATGTAAGAAAATTGAAAAGTTGATTTCTAATTTAACCCAATTGTTGTCGTTTTACATTTTTTTTTTTTACATTTTTGTATCCCTCTAATTTATCTGGTACTCATTAAAATAAAGATTACCCGAACAATTGTTGCCATCTCTTATAACAATGCCTGTCAAATTTGTGTGGATATCTAAGACTCTTATACCATCTGAACTGACTTTTACACTACCGGCTGTTGTACCTGCTTCAAGAGTCACATAGTACATCTACAAGACGTAAACAACGCATAAAACTTGAAAACATGAAACCAAATTGTATGTATCCACATCTATGAGATTTCCATCATTGAAAGAAAAATCCTTTCATAGACTTATTTACTTTTTACCAAGAACGTGTTTTCACCCTTTTTAAAGTTAAAATACTTTAAATAAACCATTGATAAATAATAATTATCCCTCTTCTTATCAATAAAATTTTAACAGTGAAGTTGGTAAAACATCTCACAACATATAGGCACTACTTGTACCTGAAACGGCTGAAGATTAAGACCTTTAAAGGTGTAACTATTGTTAGTCTCCAACGTTTTCATTAGTGAGATATCACAAGTTCTGGGAACTGTTCCAATGCAAGCACTGTAATTAACATGTTGGTGAGGATGTATAAAACCAGACCATCTCACTGCCAATGATGATCTTTCTGGTGTAAAATCTCTGTCTTCGATATCCTTTAATTCAAAAGATATATGCACATAATAATTAGACTAGACACTTTCAAATTGTGTAGAAACATTGTATTAAATTCGATGTTTAATACATATTTGAAGACAAAAACTATGATAGCAGTAAATGTATGTTCTTTTATTAATTAAATTGTAACCTTTTTATACAAGATACATAACATTAATTGATAATCATTATAACTCATCTGTACAGAAAGGACCATTTAAACAGAACTCATATATTAAAAATTATGATGTTTGAAATATTAGCAGGTGTCTTTAACATGTTTAACACTAATCTTCAGAACAACAAAACAAGTAATTCATTACAAATGTTTATAAATTTTCTCGACATATATTATACCTTGGCCTGATTTGGAAGATTTGATGTGGTTATAACATCCATAACTATTCCTTCAGCAGGTAACTGAACATCATGGGTGTATCTAGTGGATGTCTGAATAACGCATAGACCTGCCAGATTTGTAGCTTTGATGGTAAAGTAGTAGTCATGGTGACCATGAAGTGACCATTTCAGGTGTGAAACAGATAAGGCTGTGCACGTGGCTGGTACAGTTCGTGTACATGGTCCACCAAATTGTAAATTTTGAAAAGATTGGATGTCGTACATGTTTGGTCTATGTCCTTTGAAATGTAAGTAGCTATTATATCAGCAAAGTACTTACATATTACAAATAAAAGTGCTGACATATCAATACAAATATTACCAAAGTTCTATATTTAGGTATGCAGGAAACTTGAATGACAAAAAGGAGCAATTTGCATGTAATTAAATAAATATTCACTTTTTTCTATGTGGTGTTTTATTACCTGATATTTAGCTGTTAGTCTTGTCTAATGTGGTCATGGTCCTGCATGTATTTATTTGTCTTATGAGTTTGATTGCCATCTAGGCATGTCCTTCCTTTTTCTTTATTTAATAATATAAGGATAAAATGGTAGTCATTTGAAATACCAAAATTTCAATTAACATTTAACTTTAACTTAGCTTTGATTAAACAGCATAAATCTGTGTTTAACTTACCAACGGCATACTTGAAATACATTGGATACGGGTCGTCTGGGTCCTCGAAAGCGTCTGCTGTCCAATTTGCAATTAAAACATCGTTTGTCAAGTAAACGTGTATATAAGAGCCAGAAAACCGTGGCTTTGTTGTATCAACAATAAATGGCCCAATACTCTAAAATATATACAAACCATTTACTGTTCTGACTTAGATTTGACATAGTTAAATGAGCATTTTTTATAATCGTTAGGTAAGAAGAACCAGTTGTGGTTGGTGCCTTCCTTACTATATATTCATAGAAATATAAGCATATATCATTATTATAGTTGTTTAAAATGTAATAATAGTACAGGGGTTCCATTTGTACAACCACAAAGCGTACGCCAAAAAAAACCCAAAATTAAAATAAATATACTCAAAAATTTACATTTAAACAAATGTTAAAGGGGCACTAGCTACGAGATATGTAAAAAAAAATAAAATATGATTTTTTTTTTTGTTCAATTATTAATGAAAGTGAAATAGTGAAATAATAATTCGCTTTTAGCTGCCAGTATGGTTCAGTTTTGTCAAGAAAGCTAAGAAACATCGATGATAAATTATTCACATGCAAGTAAATAATTCGACCTCATTGAATCCGTATTCATGTGACCTTCAATTTAACCCCTTAGCTAGAGAAGGATTACGCATGTTTGTATTTGTTTGTTTTTATAGTGATTAAGATTATAACACAATGTTGACTGCTGTACCCCAATTTTTGACATTTTTATCTATTATGTCTGTTTGTTTTATTCACAAATCGTTGACAATAAAATGGAATTTATGTAACTGTCATACAATTGAGAGGTTCACCTAGCTATAAAACCATGTTTAATCCACCATTTTCTACATAAGAAAATGCCTGTACCAAGTCAGGAATATGACAGTTGTTATACATTCGTTTGGACTTTGATTTTGCCATTATCTTGTCTTGTGTGAAGATCCTGCCTTTCAAAGGCACACCTCTGGTTTCAGAGTGAAATAAATGGTGTATTTAACAGAGAGAATATATGTTCCAGTAAGTAGTCGAAGTTTGATGGGGAGACGCTGGATGTCTTTTTCAGAAGTCTGACACTTGCCAGAGCATTGTGTAGATGACCAGTTTTATAATTAGGTGTTGAAATAAATGAAATACTCTTAAAGTAGACAGACATGGTAACAACATGTTCGACCCAGAAGGTGTCAATTGCTTTTCTGATAGAATTTTCCATTTTAATTTCGAGGGTAGTTCATCTAATATGTTAAAGATTGATGGTAAGCTGTATTCAATTAATAAAGATCTGATTTTTGTGAACCAACTGTCTTTTACGGCTGTTGAAATAAGGATTTGTCTTTTGGCAAGTTGTCTATCTATAGAGTTCTCTTGTCTTGAAATGTTAGCAATAATTCCTAAAGTTAATTTATGGATTTTACTGATACCTGGAATTGTACTTGATAGTATATATACGGCCATGTCTGATATGTTATTGGGAATAGATAGAATTTGTTTGATGCTTTTTCCATAGAATACTTCAATTGGTTCCAATTGTGTAGAATTTGGTAATAGTATTTCTAAGCCATAAATGAGGACTGGTAACACATAAACTTGGAATAGTTGCAAGCATGCAACGGGGTTAAGGCCGTTCTTGCCATGCAAGCCTGTCCCCATCAAGCTGTACATTGTTCTCCTTGCTTTGTTGATGTTTTCTTGGATAATTATTGGGATGGTTTGCCGAGAGTTTCTGCTGTGAGTAATTCCTAAGTGTACAGCGGTTTCAACATTTTGAATAGATGTATCATTTAATGTGAAATTGAAGTTGTCCTCTAATTTTGGTTTTCCAGTTTTGATAATTTTACATTTTGTAGGCTGTAAGGAATATTTCTCGTGTTGACTGTAATTCTCCACTGTTGTTAATAGGGTTTGCATATTGGTGGGGTCATTCACAACCAGTGTGACGTCATCTGCGCAAGTCAGTATAGCACAGTAGATGTGTCCAATATAGGATCCAAGTGTACTGTCATCTACTTGGTTAAGAATGTCATTGATATACAGTTTGTATAATTCTGTACTCAGTATTCCACCCTGCATTACTCCTTGCTTAATATCGAAGGGTTCAGAGACCAAATTTTCCCATCGAACTGAAGTTTGTGCACCAACACTCAGATCATGCAAAAGTAGCCATAATGAAACAGAGATCCCTGCTAAGTATAACTTTCTATATAGACTACTGTGGTGTACGACGTCAAAGGTTGATTTTACATCAAGCAGTGCTACATATAAAGGTGGTTTCCTGTATACTGCATCGATAATCACTTCATTGAGTAGGAGAGCGCAAAATAATGGTGATATTCTAGACCTGAATCCTCTCTGAAACTGATTTTGGATGGCTGCAATAATTTGCCATAGGTGTTCCTTAAGGAGTACTTCTAGGATTTTGCCAATTACAGGAAGAACTGTAATTCCTCTGTAGTTTTAAGGATCTGTAGGTAAACTTGGAAATTGATGATAAAATTCCCATCTTGATGTAATCTGGGATAGCACATGATATACAGATGATGTTAGTTAATTTTGTCAATGCACCTACCAGGTCTGGTCCTCCATGGATGAAATGTTCAGCTGTAATTCCATAAATGTCAGGAGCTTTATTTTTATTTAACTTGTTAATGGCATTCTGGACTTCTAAGGTTGAGAAAGAAATTGGAATTGAGTCATCAAGACAGGATTCCATGATAACATCAATGTCTGCCTCCCTGTTGGCATAGTCATCCTCAGGAGTAGCAGTAGGTGTAGCCAAATTTGCAAAGTGTTCATTCCACCCCTTTATAATTTCTTCTGCAGAGTTGTCAAATACTTTTCCTTGTACAGTAAGTTCAGTTAAAGACGACTTTCCTTGCTTCCGCTGTACATTTATTAATTTATAAAATGATTTAGTGTCACTGGACCGAGTATTCATAATTTCAGCATACTTATCGTCCCTCTGTCTAGCAATTTTTTTCCGCCTTGCTTTACGTAGTTCAGATCTAGTGTTTTTTCTACGAGTTGTACTTTTACCAGATTTTGGTTTACCATCCCTTTTCCATCCAAATAAGGCTTTCTTAGTGCAAGTGCTATCTCATCGTTCCAGATATGGGTGTTTTTCTGCTTGTAAGGTTTGGATTTTTTGGCAAATTTTTCCGAGGTATTTTAAGGTAACATATATCATATGACGACTGATATATTTGATGAAAAAAAGGACAAGATTCTGACAAATAACATAAGCCAATAAAAACAGACTATGACATTGCAAAAACAATGTTTAATTACTATTTTGAATAATAGTTTTATCGTATGGGATTTATAGTGCGTTTGTGTATTTAGATATATGATGTATGATGTTTTAGACGGTAGATGTTTTAAACAGTAGGGAAATAAGTATGCAAATAAATCTGGTCAAACGATATTTTGCTTTCAAGTCTGCCATATTCCAACAAACGACTTACCTGTATTCCTTCAACTCCTGCTTTACTGATAGATTTGATTATAATATAAAACTCCTTTCCATCCGGGACATCTGGGTGATTAAGTCGGAAGTGAGTATGATGTTTTGTTGCTCGAAATGAAACTATATCTGGAGCATTGCTGCTTGCTGTAGATGACAATCCAACTTCATAATCGTGAATCAAGTTGGCACCAATGGCCGGTTTCCAAGACATTTTGAACTTATGTAACAAAAAGACAATATTTGTTTTTTGACAAAACAGACATGACTTAATAAGGTAAATAAAACTACAGCTTCAAAACACGAGCTTGCACCAAAAAAGGAACTTATAAATGATCGGGGTTATCTTGTTATACTAGTAGCAAAAACAATGTATTTGTTTATAGCCCTTATTTTCTGTTTTATTTTTAGAAAATATAAAGTTAAGATGTAATATGATGAATAAATATGAGAAGATGCCTTTCTTGGTCTGCTTTGTTTCTGGACTCGTTTTACATGCATATTTATGTACCTAAACTAACGAGATCTGAAGTGTCCTTTGAAAAATTACAGTCAAATAAGTTTAGCTATACTTTGTTTAGTCTATAATGTTGCTTTAATTTTGAAATTATAAAGTTAACATATAGATAGACAAACATATCAATACCTGAACTTCCTTGGATACGACAGCAAGTATATGAAGGTTATTTTTGATGCCACAAAACTGAACTGCATTCTTTGATACCGGTTTCCCTTGTGGCAAAATGGTTAAATTTTCTAGGTTTGACACTCTGAAAAAAATCTGATTTCAATTAGCAGAGTTAATTTGCACATGTTTTAAATTTCGCAAATTTGCTTATTATTATTATTCATTGTGTGTTATGTATAATGCAAATGGTCTAGTCAAAGTGAGAAGTTTATACGCACAATGACTGGCTCACTAAATCAAAGCATGTGCCTAAAACAGCTATATTTTGTGTAGCTCCTTGTTGTTATGCTTCGAACGTTTTTTCTCAGAGGATTATGTTGTTGCTGATTGGCGTCATCTGTGGTTCAGCCCAAACAAAATAGTAATTCGTGTTAGCCTTTTTATTTATATCTACACTAAAAGTGTACAGTATTCTTTTTATTAATCATTTGATAAAGTGTGCTTTTTCCTATTGTTAAGTCTTCAATACAGGTACATGTACGTATCTTTATCATCTAGTTTCCGAATCAAATATGAAAAAAATCAGGACTTTTGTAAAGTTGTTTTTTTGTTTTTCATAATGAATATTCTCATTCTCATGTATAACTCTTTTAAAATACAACGGACGCTTATGAACAACAGTAAATGGAAAGTGAAAGAAATACACTGGACTGTATACAGAAAATGGTTCAAAGCCAGTATTTGGACTGAAATATCAGATTTACCTCCATTAGAAGTACTTAACTTTAGTAGCCAAAAATGTCTATATATAGCATTCACCAGAAGCAAAAACCTCAGACAAAAATGTGATATTTTGCAAAGTTTAACTTTTAAACTCATCAATTATTCAAAACGAATAAAACATCTCTCTTACATGCAGCTGGAGGTAATGTTCTCAACAAAGTGTCTCTGTAGAATATTATCCAAAAACCAAACAGTTCCATTATTGTCTCTTATTAATCTTGGTCTTGTTTTAGCACCTGACATTACAAAATCTGTTATATATGGCATAGTTGTCATTATAGTAACTCCATCAGAGCAGACAACATTCGAATTTTCTTTCGCTCTGTTCACAGCAACCACAGAAACAAAATATGATCCCTCTGTAGAAGCCTCAAATGATGCAAACGTATTGTAGGTTTCTTTTGTCTGAAATACACAATCAATGTATGATTTGTGAGTTAAGATTTGGTTCAATGTACGTTGTGTTTTTTTTTCAAGTATGTAAATGCCACATGTATTATTCCTAATGCTTTTATTTGAAAAAAAATATAATGAATTCGTTGTGTTCCCTTAACATACTTTTCATATTCGGTTTTAAATTGTATTGTCATTGATACGTATATTGGAAATATATAGAAATACTAAATTTTAATTTTATTCGTAATAAGTCGATTCCTTCAGAACGATAGACGGTCAAGAAAAAAACACGTATATCAATACCTCGTTATAAGCTTTGAATTCGTTGTTGTCAAAGCAGTGATCACTAAAGATATATTGATAAAATTCTACACCACTTTCCCTGTCAAAAAAACCGTCCCAATGAGCATCTATATGTAGATCTTGTTGGAAATCAATTTCAGGATCTCCTCTGATGCCGTCATGTACATACCCTTCGTGTGGTGGGGAGACATCTATTGTTATCTGAAAAATATTGCAAATTTTCTTTACAAAATACTGAATTTTCATTTTGCAGTGCTAATAAAAATGATTGATTAGTTTTCAAAGAAAGGAAAATGCGATCGTAATGTTTTAACTGTTTGCTTGTTAGAGATATATTTTTTTCTAAGAATGCATTATATATGATATAATCTCAGACGAGTTTGTAGATGAAACCAATTGCTTAAACAAGAACAAAAAGAAACAATTGTTCGCGGTTCTCAATGTTTCTAAATGAAGGCACCTCGAATGTTTTCGTATGTTGTAAGTATAAATTAAGAGAATGGATACTGTATTGTCAAGGCAGACAACTTATCAAACATCATGAAAAGCATTTAAAAAATACGCTTAAAGCTTTTGTCAATATATGTTGTACTATGTGATTATATACCGCATTCTAACCGCATAACTAGAGGTGCAATGAAAATAGCTCAACAAATTGAAAAATGCAAAACAAAGAAATTAAAAATCTAAAGTGTTGAAGGTCGTCAAACCTGGCATTCCGTATACGGCACTATTTTCTTGATAGAATAAAAATACTTTACTGGACTACTTATTTTTTTCTCTACTTTTTTATAATCATTAAATACTTAAAGTAGTATTTCGTGTTCGTTATTATTTCACAAATTATAAACATGTATACATATCTTAAATTTTATGACTTGTTATTTGCTTTAACATTTGACATCACTAGTACCTTCTTCACAACTGTAGTTTTAAGCAAGGCCTTGTTAACAACAGTAACTTCAATGTAATAATCTGAATCATGAACACCTTTGTCTTTCCCAGTAATCAGACCAGAGTCTTTATTTATCTTAGGTTTGACGTAGAAATGTTTATGAAAGCATCCATGAAACGATGTGCAGTAACATGCTGGTCCTCTTGGTGCATCGCCATATTTGTTTTGGCAGTCTGTTATATTCTGCAAGAAAATGTACGTACTTTTATGGAAATAAACAGGTTGGCGTGTATAGTTTTCATTCCGTCCAGGTTAGCAACCGTCGTGTCCTATCATAAAAAATTCTTAGAGTGTACGTTTCAAACTACGGAAAGGCCGATTTGAGAATATTTTCTCATTCCAAATTGATTTCAAATTGAACAGGAGGATCTAAAGAGCCTACGTTACTCACTTGCATCTTCAACAATGGCCACTGTTTAGTCAAAATCATTATCATAGGGGAATAACTCTATTAAAGTCATATGAAACGAGTTTCTTGAAATTTTGATGTTATCGAATTATTGAACCAATACATGCATATATACTAAACTAAGTCTTGCATGCACGTTTTTTTATAGTTATTAGAAATCTATAACGTATTATTGACAAATAATATTTCATTCAATGGTTGTTGATCGCCAGCTTATTAACTTTCGAGTTTGTTGTCGAAGTTTTCCGGATCGTGACATAAACAAATAAAAACAGAGCACATGGAAAGCGTGACAGATAGGTGAATTGAAAGTGCCATGACATTTGTTTTTTTTTATATTTTCCATGCGTTCCCATTTGTTAATTAAACTATTCCTTGACAGTTGTTAAATGGTTTGTTGTATTCAATTTGTTCTTTAAGAATCTGTTATTTTTAGTTACCGTCAAGAGCACGTGTGTTTACATTCTTTCATCACGGTTTTCCCCTGGCACTTGCGCTGTGTGGTGGTCGAAATTATAACGAGAGGTCTCGTAGGTAAGGTCACTGCATACGGGAAAATATCGGCGAATTAGACGTGTCTGGGAAGTCAATAATTCCATATCGGTACATTTATGAACATTTTGATAATATAAAGGATTTTCTTTGAAATACAAGTTCACGTTCACTTCTTTTAGAGTAAAACGTAGGCATTCAAGTATATAAAACTTTTTTTTTAATTTTAAAGTTTCATATGACTTTAAGATCTTACAATTGCAGTCATGTTGACGTATTTATAGATGTAATCCTTTTGATCAGTTTTCATTTTAAAGTTTCTGTTTATTTATTATAGTTTTCATGAAAATAGGCAATGCAATGGTTAAATTATCCTTGAAGAGGAATAACTCCAATATGAATCGACTGAAGATTTCAGCCATGAAGGTTTATATGCAAATGTTGTCTTGCTGGTTATTTTTGCTAGTTTAAGTTTCTATCTATAATAATTTTCAAGACAATAGGCAACAAATGAAAAAATAAATGGAAAAACGTCGTCATTAAAGGGCAATAACTTTAATAAGGAGTCAAATATTGCTTTCGGACTTATTTGTAAATGTTGTATTGCTTATTTTTTTGCTTAATCTATCTATCTATTATAGTTTTCAAGTTAATAGGCAAACATGCATAAAAATTGGTAAAATGTGTCGTTTAAGGGTAATAACTCCTGCAAGAACTCGTCTAACAGTTTTGATGTCAATAAATTTTAGGTAGATCTCATTATTCTAAACATTTGTGGATCTCTCTTTTCCTCTCTCTATAGCGGTTTACAATACAGTAGACAATATTATTGCATTTTGCACTTATGTTTTAATTTATCCGTGTCAGCCATATTTGTCAGCAGGCGGGGTCATTTGACACATCTTTTTTTAAACTAGATATCCGTTGATGATTGTGGTCAAGTTTGGTTAATTTGGCCCAGTTGTTTCAGAGGAGATGATCTTTGTAAAAGTTAACGGTAGACGGATGACGATGACCACGACGATGGACGACTACAGACTACAGAAAAAAGCTGACATAGCTCTTCGCGAAGGGCCAGTTTAGTTAATAAAATTACGACCAACCTTTACATTTTGTAGCTGTTCACATATTCACTTATATATACTTGAGTTCGTATTAAGATCGACAGAAAACCCTAGCCAATTCGATACGTCATGTACTCCACTAATATAATATTAAACAGTTCGAATTGTTTCAATAGACTTTTTTAGTATCAAAATGAACCTATCTTTGGTATAAACATCATATAAGATAATCTCCATACTTCTGAATTTCCCTGTGAATGTAGGTTTGCGTGACCATGGACAATATCAGTTTTAGTGTAATTGTCATATAATCTCCACTCTAGATTGTCTATTCCACTGTGGTAGTCAAATGCATTCCATTCGATCCTTAAAAAGAGAATAACCTGTCTGCCATTTTCAATCTTAATGTGTTAAATTTAGGTGGCGTTAATTTAATTTAGGTAAGATATGAAAAAACTCAGTTTTAAAAACGAATTTGGGAGGGGGAAGGGGGTTAATGACCTTGACTACCCATGAGGGTCTTGCACGGTCAATTTTTTTTTAATGAATCAGACACATTGAACATTTTGGGTACGTCTTCAGTTGATTTGACTTGAATACTGGTTGAATTTGATATTGAATACACAAAACAAACATTGCACTTGAAATTGACTACACTGATTTACAAAGTGTATTTTTTTTTTTGTCTAATTTTTAAAATACAAACACACGAGCATTCCGAAAGCTATATTTGGCAAAACCTTTCGGAATTTTTAATCCTCAATGCTCTTCAACTTCGTACTTTATTTGGTCTATATTAACCTTTTTGGTTAGAGCGTTACTGATGAATATTTTGCAGACGATACATTAGTCTTATCGTACAAAATTTTGATTCTTGTATCTATAATGAGTTTATTTACATAATGATTTCGTCCCCTCATAAATCATTTTAAAATTCGTCTTTTAACAGTCTGATAATAACTCAGTCTTTTATTTAATTTCATGATGAAATTTACAATATACTAATATGGCCATTAGAAAATTGTACTCAACTGTGAACTTTGATTTCCGCGTAGCTCTATGTACATGCTGAGGAATATTTATACTTTCAAGATATAAAAATTAATAACTTAAATATTAGCTTCTGTTCTGTCAGATTGACGACATAGCCAATAAGTTGTATAACAATTATTTATTGAAGAAACTCGTCTATTTAAAATAAGTTTTTATATTCAATCAACTATGAGGATTAACTTATTTCTTTCCATTTTAATGGCTTAATACAGTGTACATATATTATATAACTCGAATAACTCGAATGATATTTAAATTGACATATCAACAATTGTTGTCAACTTTTTTCTAAAAAGGGAACGATGTAAATCACATTTTCTCCTAGATTGTCAACGCATTAGGCATGTTAAGGAATATGATGTTAAGAAAAAAGAGAAACACTTGTTTTTGTTTGATGTTTCTTTCTTTTCAGTATTTGCATAGACTATAAATGTGAACTTACGTCATTTTTGAAAAATCTTCAAAACTATGGACGGAAACATTTACTCGGTCTCCATTGGACAACCAAAGGTTTTCGATTTCAGGAGGACTGATGTCCTTGTATACTGTTACCATATCATCGATGTACACATCGAAAATATCAAAAGCTCGTACAGTGATATCTAACTTGTCACCATCATTCCATGAAACTGATAATGATGTAGCCTCGTCCATGACATTACTAGTGCTGACAAAATTAACTTTCTGTGTGATTGAAGGGGAAAGAACTATAAACTGAGTTTCAAATCTAACAACACCTGCAAATATGAAATTCGTTTAACATAAAAAAAAAAATCAGTATTAATTCGAATCTTTATGTTGGATTGAAAGTCAAAAGACCAGCTGTAAATTCAAAAATGTGTGCGGTTTATTTTCTTTTTTTTTTTGGCGATTGTTAACATTTTACAAACATTCGAGATCAATTTTTGTAATGTCATAAAATGTTAAAAAAATGCTATCTAAATTAAAAACACGCGTAAGTAATTTTGCGAAATTTAAACCGTCGCAATTTTTGCAATAATACAAATATCGCAAACATTTCTGAATTAACTGTTTTCTATTCTATAAAAATGTGCAAGTAAAATTTATAATACATCATGATGTATGTTGAATTCCATCATAGAAGCCTTACGACAAGTCGTCTATAAGGATTTATCACAACACTTAGTTTTGTTATTCCTAATTTATTCGTTGTGATATGACAATTTTATACTTCATCAATTATTCCTTAACGAAAAAGTAAAATAACAGAAATACCGAACTTCGATGAAAATTCAACACGGAAAGTCCCTAATCAAATGTCAAAATCAAAAGTTCAAACACATCAAACGAATGAACAACAACTGTCATATTCCTGACTTGGTACAGGCATTTTCTTATATAGAAGGACACCAATGGGTCTTCAACACAGCGAGAAAATCCCGCACCCGGAGGCGGACTTCAGTTGGCCTTTAAACAAAAATGTGTACTAGTTCAGTGAAAATGGACGTCACACTTAACTCCAAAACATATAAATGAATCAAAATCAAAAGCTCATACACATCAAATGAATGAACAACAACTGTCATATTCCTGACTTGGTACAGGCATTTTCTTATATAGAAGGACACCAATGGGTCTTCAACACAGCGAGAAAATCCCGCACCCGGAGGCGGACTTCAGCTAGCCTTTAAACAAAAATGTGTACTAGTTCAGTAAAAATGGACGTCACACTAAACTCCAAAACATATAAATGAACTAAAATTAAAAGAACATACAAGACTAACAAAGGCCAGAGGCTCCTGACTTGGGACAGGCGCAAAATTGCGGCGGGTTAAACATGTTTTGTGAGATCTCAACCCTCCCCATATACCTCCAGCCAATGCAGAACAAACAAACACCCAGCAATACGCACATTAAAACTCAGTTTAAAAGAAGACCGAGTCTGATAACAGAACAGGTTAATTAATTTCGTAGAGATATGCATGAACATACCTTGACGATGAGGTACAGTTGTTGTTTTACGTTTACCATAATGATCATCATACTCAGGATCGACATGCTTCCTTAGTTTTACTGATTCTAACCACAACTGCGTATAATGTTTCTCATTCTTAAATCTTCTTGGCCAGTTTACTTTCAGTATAGGATCATCAACATCCACCCAGACATACTTTGTATCTTTCGTCGATTGCTGGACTCTTATAGTTTTACCATCCTCAATTTCAACATGGGAATTGTCATCGTAAAGGAAAAACGTTCTTGCTGACTTTTCATTTCCAGCTTTGTCGATGGCCGTGAATATTACAGAGTACATTCCTACGCTTGTGACTGAAAACTCACTCTACAAAAATGTTATGTTTTATCTTATATTATAGTGAGTATTTGGAACATTTCATACTTGTCAAAACAATCTTTCCTCCCGGTTTGCTTACGGTTTTATGCATAGCCAGTTAATTGAAATGTCAATCACAATAAATTTCAAAATAATAATGATACGGCTATTTTTTACGTACTATTGCAATGTTGCTTTCCTTTCAGGGTGGCATTTTCTCCATGTAACAATGCTTAATATATACTTCATATAACATAAAACTTCATAGGTTGTGACTTTGAACCTCGCTCGTAGCAAGGTGTGTTCGACTCAGATTTTAATTGACAAGGATTGTCAGTTTTTCTTGCCGGGGTCAGTTGTTCCCTCCTATAATTCCGGCTTCCTCGCCAATGAAATCTGGCAACATAATAAAGGTTTGGGCGCTTAAAGTTAAAAAACAAACAAACAGACCACAATAAAACGTGAATTTAAGGAGATGTGATATGGTTGCCAATGAGACAATTATACAAAAAAGACACCAAAGGACAAGAATGTAAAGATCATTCGGACTAACACAGAAAGTTAGAAATGCGAAGTTATACTGTGTGAAAGGATAAAAGCGTCGTGGGAATGTAGAATGTAGTGTTTTAGCGGAGCCATTGACACTTATTGGTCGATTCATTTAAGTTCTTGTTTTTTCTATTAGGAACCTTTACAATCGCATGCAACAAAAATGTAACAATAGTTCGTTTAATGTAGGGAAAGGTTTCCAACATCTTTTCCAGGACATAGGGGAAGTCAATATTTTTTCTGTGAAACCATCAAAATATGTGAATCAAACATAACATGATAGGATCAATATAAAGTCATTCTAATATGACGCTCTTCTTTCGCTTTTGAAACAAAGCCATGTTCTTATTCCAATAAAAACATGGGCTGCACGTGATTGATGTCACAATTGAAATTGCAACGTCAGCTGTGTTTTGAACAACGCCAGAAATCAAAATGGACATTTGTTTTGGTGTTGCTCACTAGGAAATTAAATAAATACTTTCTTAAAGTAAGTTTACATGTATCTGTTCATTTGTTTATTGTCAAACGGTTGATTTTTTATAATTTTTTGGCTTCATCAAATCAAAATGGATGCGTTTTGAACGCGTATTATAGTACAAAAATTCTAAATTTTCCTATTGGAATTTAAATAATTCTATGCAATGCTCTATGCTAATTTTAACATGGGTAGGCATTATATAATTGTCCACATTTTACACCTATCTAACGCTCGGTTTAAAGGTATTGACAAATATAATGCCTCCCCATGTTAAAATGAGCATAGAGCATGGCATGAAAGAATTATTTCGTAATTTGGTAGAAGAAATCTTCGAATGATTCTATGCAATAAAATTAAAGGTTTTGAAAAATTAATGATCACTACATGTAAAAGCTGACGGACGGAAAAACAGACAAAGAGACGAAAGTGCGTTCAAACACTACGATGTGTATATTCCACATTTTGACTTATAATTAGTAGCTGGTATAAAAAAAATTTACAGAAATCCGTTATTTTAATCATATAATGACAAAAGGACAAAGAAGGAAATCTTTGTATCCTATTTGAATATCCAATGTGCGCAGTCAAATGTAAATCAAAAGTTTATGCAAACACTTTAAAACATGATAGCATTTAAATCTCTTTTATCTCTATAAACAATAATAGCACTGATTTCTTTGTAAAGTGATATTGACTTAAACAATCATTTAAGACTTTCGATATTTACCTTTTTACTTTTACAAATATCAAACAAATCATTACCAATGACAAACTAAGAGCATACTTAACCTTTAATATATACAGGCATAAAGCCCTTATCTAAAAAAAACTACTTGTGTTCGTACAGGTATACTTGTAAACCGACAGAACTCACCGTTAAATCTGTACGTGATAAATTTTTTGCTTCTGTAATCTTTTTTCCTTGATCTTCTGACAATGAAGTTCCATCATTACCAAGTTCAAAAACTTCGTAGTAGTAACTGCCTATACCAGCTAAGTCATCAATCCAGTTGTTCCATTGTAGTTGTATGGTTGACTTCAATACAAAAAAGTGCTCTTGTCAACCACATTTTAGATGATTGTTTCACATTTTTTAAAGTTTCTTTTTGTTTGCTGGGTTGATGGGTTATGAAAGTATACCAGTATTTTCTTTTATTCAACAAAAATTCCTTTCGTAGTAATATTTTTATCAGCAAATTTTAAAAGCCTGATAATTGTAGGAAATGACAAAAAAGTTCAACATTGTGAAATCGAACAAAAGATGTAAAAATACATCTGGACTTTAAAATTAAGACGGGAACAGCATGTTTAATGTTCAAATCTTCATATAACCATTAAAGCTATTTGTTTTCTGTATTAACTAATATCAAAAGCAGTTCAGCAATACCTTACAAAAGTAATTATGTTTTGATTCTTTTACGAGCATCTGCTTCCTGCATCGTTAAATATTTCCATGGGAAGTTCGTGTCAAATATACTTTTTACATTTCCAGTGTTTTGTCAATAGGAAAGAAGTAAATATACAACAAGAAATAACAGAATTCATGCCACTGCTAAATCGTGTTATACTGTAAAGAATGAAGTCCGTATATAAAGTTAAACATAAGTTTATAATTCAGACAAGTGCATGAATGACAAAATAAAAATAATATGCCCCTCATTCATCCTGAGCAATACTGTTTAATTATTTGTACATTCACTAGGTCTTCTACGTCATTACTGTCTATCAATTACTTACGTTAGGTGTTACATCTGGAGCAAGTACTGGTGGAACAGTACATTTTATTCCGTGAGTTTTAACACATTGTTGGGCAGGTTCGTCCAAGTCCCAGTGAAACACAAACTGACGTGAAACAGTTCTGCCTATCAAATCTACACGCTTCCTCGGTGCCTTTTCAGGATTAGTAGAATGCGCGTCTCTATCGATGTATTTTAGATAGCCGCCATTCGTTATTTCAAACGAATATATTACCCTACAATTAATGACAACGCCCGTACCATCATTCTCTCATACCTAACTAGACTGTTCGACATTGTTACAATAGTACTGAGCAAAAAAGTTAAGAATCATCAAGATTTCAATTGCATTTAGGTTTCAAAAACGGAATGTTCTCTTCAATTAATCAACTAAAGCTCTAAAAATTACAAAAATGATATTTACCTAGCGTGAAAATGGTAGATTCTAAATCTGATCAAAAAGAGGTCACATTAATAGTTTTGTTAGGGTTTGGAGTTCAAAACATCTAATTCAAAGTACCGAAATAAAATTTCTAAAATTTTTGCAAAAGTGAATTTAAATTGGTTTTTCGAAAAAAAAAAAAAAAAAAAAAGGCCCCCATTTCTTCCATTTTACCATCACATTTGCTCATTTTTGGAATTTGTATAGAAAATTGGCAAAGAGATCTTCCAAGGTGA